CCTGTCTGCACTTCGTTCCCGATTCCGCGCTCCCTGGTGGTGGCGCGATGCCTCGGCAGGGGGAAACAATTGGTGGACACTCCCCCGCTCCCCCAAACTCAAAGTTGGCACGCGCGGGGGGGAGACTGCGGTCGAAGCGGAACTCATCAGACCCACCGCCAACTGTGAAAACGCTGGCCGCTGAATGTGGCATGCGCGCTCGCTGGTTTTTCCGAGGCCTGCTCTACCCCAGGCATGCGATGATGTGTCTCTTCGTCGACTGGGGGTGTGAGAGTGGCCCGTTCGCCGGAGTGACCTCTGGGTGCGGACTCAATGGGGGCCCCCCGATCGCGGATCGCGAAGCTGGCAGCAGCGGCTTGCGCATATCTGGGTCTGGCCACCCTGCATCCCCCGCTAAGCCGCGCACCAGAGGTCACTCCCGAGCGGGGTCCCTCCTGCGTGCAGCCCATCTCAGTCCGCGCCTCGGGCGCATCGACCCCGTCCCTGGGGCCAGGCCTTCGCCTCTGATCCACTCTGGATGGCCCCTGGAGCAAAACAAACAGCCTCCTTCGGTAGCAAATCATGGGAGCCTTGAGTGCCCTCTCAATTCCACCTTTAGCGTCGATGAGCGTCGATTGGCGTCTGGGAGTCGATGAGGTAGCGCCGATTTAGCGCCGGTTAGCGCCGATTCAGCGTCGATTCAGCGTCGACTAGCGTCGACTAGCGTCGATTCGCAAGAGCCGACAAGATGGTATGGGAGGCGCCCATGAGTTGCCGCCGCAGTCCCTGGAGGCCGACACGGAGGAAACGCGCAGGGTTAAGTCGGGCCTGTCCTCCTACAGGGGGATTTTCGACGAAAAATGGCCAACAGATGCACCAAGATGGCCAAAACATGCTCAGCAACATCGTCCCCAGACTATTTCTTGGTTGTTTTTGGAATATCCCTCCTGTAGAGGGACAGGCCCGACTTGACCGAAGCCCCCTGAGGCCGACACGGAGGCAACGCGCAGGGTCTGAAACGGACCAGTCTCCTGGGGGCCTGGGGCCCCGCAGCTGCGCACCCGTCCAGACCCGGACATCGAAAAGGTCTTGACCTTTTCTGGGCCCCTCCTCCGCAGGCTGGGCTCCCGTACGTTCGGGTTGACCCAAAAGGGGGTCCAGCGACAAGGGGGTGATGCAATAGATTTGGTGCACTATATTTGTGGGGTTGCCATACATCGGGGGCATGCAATACATTCCGGGCCGCAGATGTATTGCTGGATTTTCGCGTGCGAGACACTCGTCGCAATATAATGCAGTACAATTCTCCGGCGCAGTACATTTGCAACACAATTGCCCCAAATCTATTGCACCACCCCCTTTCAGTTTCAGCTGGACCCCCTTTTGGGTCGACCAGATACATGGACATTACATTCGAACCCTGTGGCCCAAGATGCCCCTCAGATCCCCCCAAATTGATATTGATGGCGTGGCGACGGGGGGCGTGAGTGGACAGAAATATTCGAGCTCCAAAGCACCGCCTTTACTGAGATCCACATTGATGTCGGGGGCGCGGGGGTGATTTAGAATCTCCCTCGAATGTGTAAGGGTTCGAAAATATCGTCCATCTACTGTCCCGCGGTCCCCGCGGCTCTTCGATTAAGCTGGGCCTGTCCCTCTACAGGAGGGATATCCCCAAATAGTCAAAAAATAATCAGGGGACGATTTGTTGAGCATTTTTTTGTATTTTTTGTTTTTTTCGTCGAAAATCCCCCTGTAGGAGGACAGGCCCGACTTAACTCTTCGACGCGGTCCCCGGAAGTGCCGACCATTCTTCTGATTGCCCCGTGACCCAGCGAGGGCCCCCAGGTGCCGCATCATCATTCATTCACCCCGCTCGCACGAGGGCGGGCCCATGAAGGGCGCGAGGGAAAAACGCAAGCTCCAGTGCACAGCTCAGGCAAGCAGGAGGAAGTGCACAGCTCAGGCAAGCAGGAGGAAGGATGGGGGAGGGAACACCAGACTGCGCGCAGGGAGCGGCGCGCCGGCAAGCGGCAAAAACACCTCCGTCTGGGAGCACCCCCGCGGACGCCCCGCTGCCGCCGCCGCTCCTTCTTCTCCACCTCCTCCTCGTCATCATCATCTTCATCCTCATCGTCGCCGTCCCCACCGCGTCGTCCTCGCCGCCGGCGTCGTCGCCGACGTCGTCGTCCTTGCCGCCGTCGACGTTCTTCGTCGCCGCCGCCGTCGTCGACGTCGTCGCTGCCGTCGTCGTCGTCGTCGTCGTCGTCGCCGTCGCCGTCGTCGTCGTCGTCGTCGTCGTCGTCGTCGCCGTCGCCGCCGTCGCCGTCGCCGTCGGCGCCGTCGTCGGCGCCGTCGTCGGCGCCGCCCGCGCGCGCGCAGGGGCCCCTCGACCTCTGGTTCCCCCTCTGCTGCCCGGCCCCCGCCGCCGAGCCGGCCGCTCCGGCGGGCGGCGCCGCCGCTGGCAGCGCGGAGCTGGCCACGCTCCTACTGCTTTTCGTAGTACTTCTTCCTCTGCTGTCCTCCTCCTCCTCCTCCTCCTCCTCCTCCTCCTCCTCCTCCTCCTCCTCCTCCTCCTCCCTCCTCCTCCTCCTCCTCCTCCTCCCCCTCCTCCTCCTCCTCCTCTCCTCCTCCCTCCTCCTCCTCCTTCTCCTCCTCCTCCTCCTCCTCCTCCTCCTCCTCCTCCTCCTCCTCCTCCTCCTCCTCCTCCTCCTCCTCCTCCTCCCCGTCCGTGCCTCAAGGAGGAGCGCAGCGTCCTGGCTTGCCTACACATTGTTCCTTTCTGGTTCTTCGAGGGTTCTTTGGTTTTCTGGGGGGCCAAGGTCCTTTCTTTTCTAGTTGTTCTGTCCTGGGCCTCTTCCTGGCCACTAGGAGGCCAGGAGCAATTAGAAACGAGCACAATTAGAAATGAGCACGATTAGAAATGAACGACGTGTATAGGCCCACCAAAGAATGTTCTAAGAACCTTTTGTGGTGGGGACGAAATGGTCTGATAGCATCTCTGGCTGGGGCTGTCTCGTTCTAACACACATCGAGTCAATGCTCTGAGAACATTGTCTTTGCTCTGAGAACTTTTTCGGGTTCTGAGGAATGCCGGGACGGTCGGTCCCTGCTCAACCCTCCCGTCCAGATCGGCAGATCCCGGCCACGTGCGTAATTAGGCGGAGGCGGCCCAGACATCGGGCGTTTCGACACAGTCGAGACGGAGGTTTTTGTTGGGGGCTCTTCTTCGGCCTCTGGGGGCCCTTGCCGGGCATCGCGGCCGTCAGCAACGGCTCGGGACGAAAACTCAGCGCGGGGGGGCCACGGACGGAACACCGAGCGACTGGAGGATCATCTGCGCCCCCCCCCCCCCCGCGCGTTCGCCGCCGCCGCCCTCGCCGTCCTTCACCAGCGGTATCCGACGCTCCAGCAAACTTGTGGAGCGGGGGCCTGGGGTCGCTCTCGGTCGCGGGGGGCCCTCGCCGGGGCCCAGGGGCGTCCAAGCACGGCTGAGGACGAGACGCCTGCCCAGGGGTCCAGGAGCCGTTTGCTCCATGCCAACCCTCCAGATCAGTGACTAGGGGGCCACAGGCGAACCCTACCCCTACCCCCCACGATTTCCGGGGGGGAGGGTGGGGTTCACTTCGTTCGGGAGCTCCCGAGCGAAGTGAACCCCACCCTCCCCCTCAGAAATCGTGGGGGGTAGGGGTAGGGTTCGCATGCGGCCCCCTAGTGACGACCAAGCCGTGCCCCCCCCCCGCCGCCGCTTATCGATCTGGACCAGTACAGGTTGGTTCGCTGGTGGGGGTTCGCCTCGATGGTGCCCGCCTGCAGTTTCGGAGCCCCCAGGCGTGTCGGGGCCCCCCAGGATTCGGACCACGTGGGGGGAGGGTTCGCACGTGGCTGCCTGCTGGCTCTGCTTCGCCGCGGAGGAGTCAGAGGATTGCTGGGCTGCTTCGCGATTTGGAGGTTTAAGGGCTTCTTTCGGGACCCTGGGCGAGCAGAAAGTTATCTGGACGAAAGACTGGCCCCAAGGATTGGTGTCGAAAGCTAATTGTTCGGCTCCTTTTTCTCTTTCAAGCTGGTACCTCTCCACCTGGGTGAGGAAGAAAGCAGCTTTCAATTGCAACCGCTTTTTCGTTTGTGCCGTGGCTTCCCAGCCGTGTAAGATGTCCTTGAACTTGGGCTTCGATGCGTGGCGTCATCCGACTTTTGACGCGCTGCTTTTCGAAGCATGTTGTTCGAAAGTTCTGGGGGCTCCTGCCACGTCGGAGGCCTGGATCCTCCTTGACCCCCCCCCTTTTAGCCCCGCCCTGTGGGGCAGTGCGGATGGCACCCGAGTGGCCGTACGCATCCGAGCTGAAGGCCATCGCCGACGAACCAGCGCGCAGCATCGTGGGCACGATTCTGCTGGTATCCGCTCGAATCTCCATGCGCTTGTCTATAGAGATCTCTGGGAGCAAGGGGGTGCCATTGGATGGCCTCGTCGTGCCATCCTTGGGGCCCGCGAAGGGTCGAGGGAAGGAGGAGGAGGAGGAGGAGGAGGAGGGAGGAGGAGGAGGAGGAGGAGAGGATGAGGAGGAGGAGGAGGAGGAAGAGGAGGAGGAGGAGGAGGAGGAGGAGGAGGAGGAGGAGGAGGAGGAGGAGGAGAAGAGAAGAAGACGAGGAGGAGGACGACGACGACGACGAACGCTGGCACCTTCGCCCTCTGGCGGGCGACGGCCCCCCCGAGCAGGGCGCGACAGCGGCAGCGGTCGAGCGGAGGCGACCTCCAGACTCAGAGCCTTGGCGCGGCTGGCCTCGGCCGCCCTGCTCGTAACGTTAAGGGCCTGCTCCCCCCTGCACCTCCGCCCGCGCCAGCCGCTTTCGCTCGCGCGGGCGACAGGGAGGAGAGGAGGAGGAGGAGGAGGAGGAGGAGGAGGAGGAGGAGGAGGAGGAGGAGGAGGAGGAGGAGGGACTTGTTCTGGAGGTGGGGGAGGAGGAGGGGGAGAGGCTGAGAAAGAGTTGGCACCCTCCCCACTCGCCTGCGTCTCCCCTCCTCCTTGTTCCCTGACCATCTCCATCTTCTCTCTAGTTCCCCTCCTCGTTGCTCAACCTAGTCCTTCCGATCCTCCTCTTCCTCAATCAGTCCCTCCTCCTCGTCTTCGTCATGCCTCTGCTCCCCCCTCCTCTCCTCCTCCCCGCCTCCTCGCCCTTCTCCTCACTCCCGCCCTCCCTCTCTCCAGCCCCTCCCCCTCTCCTTGGTTCCCGCGCTCTCTCTCTTTTCCCGAGGAGGAGGAGGACGACGACGACGACGGCGGCGCTCCCAGGCGGAGAACCTGCCGCCGCCGCCCCTGGCGCCGCCCCCGCCCGCGCCGCCTGCGCCGCTCGCGGAGCCCCCTGCCGCAGATCCGGCGGCGGCGGCGGCGGCGTGGGAAGGCGCCCGCCGCTGAAAGTGGCAGCCGGCGCTGTCGTGGTCTCGTCCTCGCCCGCGGCTGCAGTCGTGGCCTGGTCCTAGCGGTAGTGGTCGTCGTCGGAGGGGCAGGGGGGGGCGGGGGGAGTGTGATGAGGGTGGTGGTGGTAATGAGGCGGAGGATGAGGAGGAGGAGGAGGAGGAGGAGGAGGAGGAGGAGGAGGAGGAGGAGGAGGAGGAGGAGCAGGAGGAATAGTGATAAGACAAGTAAGAAGAGCAGTACAATGATTATAATAATAGTAGTCTTAATGCTACTACAAACGCTAATAATCACAATCGTAAGACTGCAATCATCACTACTGTCATTAGTAGTCATGCCAAGAATATTGATACCATTATTAGTAGCTACTACCAATACTAGCAACATTACTAATGCTACTCATAGTGATAGGGTTCCTGGCGGAAGTTGAAACATTTGGCGAAAATTTCCCGCCGATTTTGGTAGCAGGCTGGGTTCCCGGGTTCCCGGTTCCGGGTTCCCGGGTTCCGTTATTGGTTCCGGACCGATTTTGGCGACAGTTTCCCGCCGATTTTGGTAGCAGGCTGGGTTCCCGGGTTCCCGGTTCTGGGTTCTCGGGTTCCCGGTTATGGTTCCGGGCCGATTTGGGTGGGCTCCGGGTTCCCGGGTTCCCGTGTTCCCGGTCGATCTTCTGATCGATCTCTTAATCGATCCCACGATTCATTCTCGATCTCAGGATCGATCTCACTACTCATCTCACTCAAGCGATCTCACCATCGATTTCAGTATTGATTTAACCATCGATCTGACTATCGATCTCTCTATCCATCTCGCTTAATCCGATGCCCGAAAAAGGCGAACATACCACGACCCTTCTAATACCTACAAGGAATCAGTAATTAGTGTCTCTTCGGACCCTACGGCGAACATGCGGCCAGGCATGGTACCTGCCAAAGTTTTCAAACCATCCACTGATTGGTTTTGTCTGGTGTACTATTAACAGCTTGAATACAACTAGTACGCTGTTAGCACCAATGATGATCGCACTGCCACTGCGAAACAAAGACTACGGATACTAACACACACAACACTATGCAGTATGAACCAAACAATCATAAGAACAATGGTCATGATACTCATCATATTACGAATACTACAATACTATGACTAATAGCAATCAGAAGAGGAAGAGGGGGAGGAGGAGGAGGAGGAGGAGGAGGAGGAGAAGGAGGAGGAGGAAAGGCAAGAGGAGGGATGGGGGAGGAGGTAGGAGGAGGAGGAGGAGGAGGAGGCAGGAGGAGGAGGGGAGGAGGAGGATAAGGAAATAATATGTTGCAGGGACAGGGGTGATGAGAGAGGGAGGGGGAGAGTACCCCACAGCTCTGTGTGTGTGTGTGTGTGTGTATTCTCTCCGTCTCTCTCTCTCTCTCTATCTCACTCTCTATGTCTCTGCGTCTCGCTGTGTCATTCTGTGTCTCTCTCTCTCTCTGTGCTTCTCAGTGTCTCTCTGTATCTCTCTGTCTCTCTGTCTCCCTTCCTCCCTCCCATCCTGCCTCCCCCTCCTTCCCTCCCTCCCTCCCTCCCTCCTGCTCCTCCTCCTCCTCCTCCTCCTCCTCCTCCTCCTTCTAGCGCTCCAGGTCGGGTGGCTCGTGTGAGCCGCTTCGGGCCAGGCCGCATTGGCCCAGGCGGACGTGCCCGCGCCTGCTACACCGTGCCCAGTCGCTGGCTTTCTCTCGCTCCCCTCTCTCCTGGCCCCGGGCGCCACTCTGCAGTGCACCGGCACCGTATGCGCCGATCTTGGGCCCAGCAAGGATCGGCGCGGGTGTGCAGTCTGCGTCCTCCCATCCGCTTCCCCCGCTCCTCCCCCTCTGCTCCTCCCCCTCTGCTCCTCCGCTCCTCCTCCTCCTCCTCCTCCTCCTCCTCCCTCCTCCTCCTCCTCCTCTCCTCCTCCTCCTCCTCCTCACCTCCTCCTACCTCCTCCTCCTCCTCCCTCCTCCTCTCCTCCTCCTCCTCTCCTCCTCCTCCTCCTCCCTCCTCCTCCTCCTCCTCCCTCCTCCTCCTCTCCTCCTCCTCCTCCTCCTCCTCCCCCTCCTCCTCTCCTCCTCCCCCCCTCCTCCTCCTCCTCCTCCTCCTCCTCCTCCTCCTCCTCCTCCTCCTCCTCCTCCTCCTCCTCCTCCTCCTCCTCCTCCTCCTCCCCCTCTGCTCCTCCACCTCTGCCCTCCGTCCAGGCCCAGGCGCCGACGAGGCCGAGAGCGCCGCGGAGCCCTCCGAAGCGAACAGCCCTCTGGCGCGGAAGGGCGAGGAGACGTGCGCCGAGGGTGGCGGCGATGAGATGGGAGATGGGGGGAGGAAGAGAAGGAAGGAAGGAAGGAAGGAAGGAAGGAAGGAATGGAGGGAGGAAGGAAGGAAGGAAGGAAGGGAGGAAAGAAGGAAGGAAGGAAGGAAGGAAGGGAAGGAAGGAAGGAAGGAAGGAAGGAAGGGAGGAGGAGGAGGAGGAAGAGGAGGAGGACCAGTGAAAGCCTAAGAGTCATCAGCGATGCTGGAACAGACCCTCCCTCCAAGCTCCCTCCTCAGAGGCCCCTACGACGGTGCATGTCCACTGAGGGAACTGCCTCGTTGGAAGACAGCCGTTTGAAGACCTGAAGCATGTCAAATGAGTGTTCTCGGGATGCCAGCGTCACGGATCATACTGACTATTGCGTCTTGACGATCCTGAATCGTGCCAGAACGCCATTCTTGGGATTTCAACACCGCGAATTAACGTAAGTGTCGCACCCTCATAATCCTGAATCCTTCCTAAACGACATTTCTGGTACGCTGTTCATTGTATTTCGTGAAACTCTTGCTGTTTTGTTTAAACGACTGTGCGCGGCGCTAGGGCGATAGCCACATTTTGAAAAAGGAACCGCGCTCAATCCGTGACGCTCATGCGAATGTTTAACACGAATGTGCGCGGCGCTAAGGCGAGAACCACATCTTGAAAAGGAACTGCCCTCAATCCATGCAGCTCTTGCGATTTGTTAGAACGAAAGTGCGCGGCGCGCGGTGCTAAGGCGAGAGCCACATTTTGACAACGGCCCGCCCTCAATCAGTGACATTCTGGCATTTTTAAACGAATGTGCGCGGCGCTAAGGCGAGAGCCAAATTTTGAACACGACCCGCCCTCCATCTGTGAAGCTGTTGTCATGTTTTCAGCTTCAGGGTCATCAGTGGTAAGGAAGTCTCAGGCGAAACGGCCATCCCGCCCTAACAACTGGCCTCGGGGTGCGACAGGAAGGAGTATTCATAAGGAAAAGGAATGGAGGAGGAGTATGATGATGACGATGATGCTGATGATGATGATGATGATGATGATGAGGAGGAGGAGGAGGAGGAGAAGGAGGAGGAGGAAGATGAGGAGGAGGAGGAGGAAAAGGTACTCCCCTGGCGTTGGCAAGGTATGGGGGATCGAGACAGATCCTCACAACGATCAAGTGTCCGCTCCGCAGTCCTGAGTCGGATGAGGAGGAGGAGGAGGAGGAGGAGTCTGAGGAGGAGGAGGAGGATGAGGAGGAGCAGGAGCAGGAGGAGGAGGAGGAGGAGGAGGAGGAGCAGGAGCAGGAGGAGGAGGAGGAGGAGGAGGAGGAGGAGGTGAGGAGGAGGAAGAGGAGGAGGAGGAGGAGGAGGAGGAGGAGGAGGAGGAGGAGGAGAGGAGGGAGGAGGAGGAGAGAGGAGGAGGAGGAGGAGGAGGAGGAGCAGGCTATCGAGGAGGAGGCTATCGAGGAGGAGGAGGAGGAGGAGGAGGAGGAGGAGGAGGAGGAGGAGGAGGAGGAGGAGGAGGAGGAGGAGGGGGGAGGCCTGCCTGGACCCGCCGCCCCGGCTTTCGGGGCTTCTCGAGGAGCTCGAGCGGTGCCCCTCGGTGGGCTCCGTTGCCACGACCCCGACGGACGAGGACCTGCCGCCCCGTTGGCCGCGCCTCCTCGGGCCTCCCTCCTCCCTCCTGCCTCCTCCCTCCTCCCTCCGCTCAAGTCCTTGCGGCTCCGCGCCCCGAGATCGGGGAGCTGGCCGCACCGGCCGGGGTGGTTCAAGCCAGGGCTCGAACCTGACCTCGCCTCGCGACATGAGGGGGAGCAAGGCTGCCGCATAAGTCGAGTCGGGACTATCACAAGCTACGGGCAACATTTCCGTCTGTATGGTTGGTGTCTTTGTCCACGTCTTGTCCATCTTTGGGTGAGTGCAGTGGGTTGTGCACCAATCAAGGTTGTGGGTGCATTTTCAGTTCTGTGTGGGCTGAATGGATTTATATTCGTGTTTGTTTGTTGGTGGCGCCCCTTACGGCCTTTCAAGTTTTCTTCAAGGCTTGCTGGTGGTCAGTTCATCAATCAAACAACTCGGCCGTGGGTGGAGTCATCAGTTCTCTTCGGGCGCCTCAGTGGCCTCGTCACATACAGTGCTGCACTCTCCCACAGCCGCCAAGGGTGTGTATGTCAATTCAAGTTTATCTGGTTGGTGGCGTCCATCACGGCGTGTCGATTATCGTGCTTGCTGGTGGTCGCTGCATCAATCAAACAACTCGGCCGTGGGTATCGTCTGCAGTTCTGTTTGGGCTCCAGGCCTCGTCAGCTACTGTATTGCAGTCTCCCTCAGCCGCACGGGGGGTGTATCTCAATGTGTTTTGGCATTGTGGTGCTGCTTGCTTCAGTTATTCAAGTGGCAGGTGTTCGCATGCGTTTTTGCAAACTGTGGGTTATAGGCGTTCCGAGGTGATTGTACTGTTGTTTTTGGCATGAGCGTGGATTGAATTAGGCCGTGCTGGTGGGCATCAAGGACAGCACGGTTCCGCGGGATTTCGGCATGCCCCGTCTCGCTCCGCCACTGCAGGTTGCCAGTTCCGCCCCCGCTTGCTTACGGTGGGGAGTGTGCGACGACAGGCGTTCGTCAGGCTGCCAGAGGCTATGGTCAGGGAGCTGTTCCTCTGAGGCCACAAAGGGGTCACGGCGGCATCGTCGACCGTGGACGCCCGTGCATCCTCGATCCTCGATCCCTCCTCCTTCCTCCTCCTCCTCCTCCTGCCTTCTCCTTCCTCCTGCCTCCTCCCTCCTTCTTCTCTTCCTCCTCCTCCTCCTCACGCTCCTCCTCCTCCCCCCTCCTCCCTCCTCCCTCCTCTTTCTCCTCTTCCTCCTCTTCCTCCTCTGCCTCTGCCTCCTCCCTCCTCCCTCCTCCCTCCTTTCTCTTACATCCTCCCTCCTCCAGTCTGGCCTGCACTTTTGCTTCTCTTGTGCGCTCGGCCTTTTTCTGTGTGCGGTGTCGTTTTGGGCGGTGCCACCTTGCACGCAGCGCGCTTCGCGGCGTTCTTGTGCAGAGCGATGGTTGCAGTTGCGGGTGGGTGGGTGGGATGATTGCGCGAGCGGTGGAGTTGTCAACTCACTGCGATCATAAGTGAATCGCACCACGTGGACGTCACCGCATATATTGCGCAACATATATATTGCAAGTCGTACATCGCACCACATCTGTTGCACAGCATCACCTGCACCACATGACAAAAACTGTTTGGGATCCACGCAGGCTAACATTTGTTGCGTGCTTTGTTTATGTGTCGATTTCTCTCGCTCTCTGTCTGTCTCTCTCTCTCTCTGTCTGTTTCTGTCTGTCCCTCTGTCTGCCTCTGTGTTCATCAGTCTCTCTCTCTCTCTCTCTCCTTCCCCATATGTGCCATGAGATACCGAGGGGGCCGCCGCACCAGGCGCTGGCACACCGCAGCTTCTCCGACGATTCCATGGAGTCGGGCAGAACCGAGGCCCCCCGCCGGCCGCCCGCCCGCCCGCCCCGCTTCTCCGACCGCGCACGGCGGCGCTCGAGAAAAAAAGGGCCTCGCCCCCGAGGGCCCCGAGGTGCTCCACCCGTGGAGGCCGTTTGGGAGTTTTTTTTTTGTTTGTTTGTTTGTTTGTTTGTTGTTGTTGTTGTTGTTGTTGCTGTTGTTTGTTTTTGTTGTTTGTTTTGTGTGTGTTTTGTTGTTGTTTTGTTTTTTGTTGTTGTTTGTTTTTTCGTTGTTTTGTTTTTTTTGTTTTTTGCTGTTTTTTTTTTTTTTTTTTTTTTTTTTTTTCCGGAGGTGGCATCCAGAAAAAAGGCTTCGCCGGCGAGGGCGCGGAGCGGCCCCTCCCCCCTCCTGGGGGCCGCTCTGGAGGTGGCCCTTGTGGGGAGGGGGCGTCCAGAAAAGGGCCTCGCCCGCGAGGGCCGAAGGATTGCAACAAAAACCCTTCGTTTTTTTGAAGGATTGCAAAACAACCTTCGTTTTTTTGCAATCCTTCGTTCAATTGAGGCCGAAGGGTTTTTTTTTGCAATCCTTCGTTTTTTGCAATCATTCGATGTTCCACGCTCCACCTGTGGAGGCGTTTTGGAGGCGGCCCTGTGGGAGTTGGCATCCAGAAAAGGGTCTCGCCCGCGAGGGCCCAGATGTTCCACGCTCCACCTGTGGAGGCGTTTTGGAGGCGGCCCTGTGGGAGTTGGCATCCAGAAAAGGGTCTCGCCCGCGAGGGCCCATCTGCATCACCTCCTGAGGCCGTTTTGGAGGTGGGCCTTCTGGGGGTTGCAGGCTGGCGGCGCTGCTCAGGGCATCGGATCTGGAGTTTTTTGCGTTGCTCTCGCGGCCTGTCTTTCGCAGGGAGCTCAGGCTAGACGTCAGCCCACGCGCGCATGTGCTGGATATGACTGGATCCTCGCCAGGGTGCGCAGCAACAAGAAAGCAGTCGACCTCTCGCCCACGGCGGACCCCGAGATCCAGGCGTTACAACTTTTTCGCACGGGGCGTGTTCGGCTGGCTTCGGGCGCCAGGTCCCTCACACATCGACCCGTTTTGAGAAAGGCCGCAGAAATATGTGGTCTATAGCGCTCCGGTGGGAATTTCTCACGATATTGTTTTCGACGTCGGAGCTCAAGGGAGGTCTGCAGACGGCGCCCGGGAGGTGGCGGAAGTACGCTTGGGCGGCTCTGGCGCGAGGCGCTGGCGGAGCCTTGCGGAAGTGAGCGGCGGCCCTGGAGAGAGGCCACAGCTGGCGAGCCCAGGGTTTCTGCAGTCTGGCCACGCTGCGGGTCCTTGGCATCGCTCGGACGTGTGCATTTTTCTTTCGGCGAGGGCCATCGAGGAGAATCCTTGATCATTTGGCGAAAAAAAAACATGCACGAAACCGAGCAAAAGCACAGGGAATCGACGTCCTAGCGATGGCCAGGGTCTGCCCCTGCGGGACCCCGGGGTTCCCGGAGGGAGGCGCTCCGCCGCAGCCGTCACGTGCTGGACCCCCCCCCCCCGCCGCAGTGGTTGCTCCTCCTTGGAAGCTGGCCCGCACGCAGGGTTTGGGCCCGCCTGTGGTGGCCAATGGTTCCGCGGCGAGGCGACCGCGACGGATCGAGCTTTCCTGCCACGGGCACATGCTCATCACCCCCCTGATCAGCCGCGATGGGGGCGTTGGCTACCGAATTTGCCCAGGAGGCTTCTGACGCCGGAGGATTCCTTAGCTGATAAAGGGCGGCAGTGGTACCCACGGCTCAGCCCCAATTGTTGTTCCACTGGCTTCCAGACCCTGGATTCTTTCTCTAAGAGACAGTTTGCTGCGTGTGCGCCGGGCCTGCACCTCCTCCCCTCCCCCCCCCGGATATCCAGACCTTGTCGGTTGCGCAGGTCCGAAGGGGTACGCAGTATTGGTGCGCGCGGGCACACGTGGGGCTGCGTAAAGCCAGCAGGTTAGCTTATCGGCTGTGGCATCTCCCCTCCCCGCCCCCTTCGCATAACCAGGATTATCGCAAAACATGGGAACTAGTCTCTCATCTATGGGTCTCTTATCCACTGTCCTCACCAGCTCGAAGAAGGACGTTGGGGGGAGGGGGGGCGCAGGTTTTTGGGGGGCCTCCAGAGGCTTCCAAGAGGAGCGCGGCGGGGACAGGGGGCAAGGAGGAGGATAAGACGGAGGTTCTTGTTCTCCTCCTCCTCCTCCTCCTCCTCCTCTCGCGGATCGTGTTGTGCGGGAACTCTAGGCGCCGCTGCGGGACGTGGAGCTTGAGTCCTCGCGCGTGGACCAGGCGCTGGCGAGCATCGGTCGCCTCGGCCGTTCGAGCGGATCTCCCAAAACCTCCCCCTCCCCCTCTTCCTCATGCTCCTCCGTCTCCTCCTCATTTTCTCCTCCCCCATCATCATCATCATCATCATCATCATCATCATCATCATCATCATCATCATCATCATCATCATCATCATCATCATCATCATCATCATCAGCATCATCATCATCATCATCATCATCATGAGCATCATCATGATCATCATCATGATCATCATCATCATCATCATCATGTTCATCGTCATCATCATCATCAACATCATCATCACGATCATCATCATCCTCATCATCCGCATCATCATGCTCATCATCATCATCATCATCATCATCATCATGATCATCATCATGATCATCTTCATCATGATCAGCATCATAAATTTCCTCTTCCTCCTCCACCAGTGTTCCCTACACCTTCCTCCGCCTCGCCGCACCCCCAGGCGTGCCGGCCGGGCGGGCCGGGGGGGGTCGCTCCAGACTTCCTCGCCGTGGGTGGCCTCGAAGCTTTCAGGAGGGAACAAAAACGCACAGACACAATGAATCGTCGATCCCCCAGAACATACACTCCAGGCGATGCTTAAGAAAACCCAAGTTTTCGGCCAGGGTCTCGATTATTCTTAATGTTTCAATGTAAATCCTAACATTTGAATAGACATTCTGGGTTTGATGTCAAATTCTGAGAGTATGAATTTCTTAACCCATGATTTCTAAAGCATTTCGCAGGGTGTATGGGGAAATATGGGAAGTGGGGGGGAAGACGAACATCCCAAAAAGATGGAAAACTAATGGGAATCCTCGCATTTGTGTGTATTTGTCTGTGTGTCCCAGGGCCCCTTTGAGCTTGAAGTTTTTCAGCAGTTCGGCGGGTGGACGGCGGGCCGCTTCGCCTAGGATCCTGAAGCTTGACATGTCAACAGTTTCACGGATGGAGGGCGGGCTGCGCGCATTCGTCGCAAACGCTTGCACCAGCGTCACGTGTGGGGGGCGGGCGGCTTTCGGCATGCAGCTCTCGCCTCTGCGCCGCGCACGTTCGTTTCAAACGTTCGCAACCGTCTCACGGATGCAGTGGTAGTGGTGGTTTTCAACATGTTGATCTCGCCCCAGCGTCGCAAGCATTCGTTTTCAAAAGTCCTCAACAGTTCAGGGATGGAGGGCGAGGAGTTTTCAAGATGTAGCTCTCGCCTCTGCGCCGCGCACAGTCGTCCCAAATATTCGTAACAGTCTCACGGATGGAGGGGCGGTGGTGATTTTCGAAATGTTGATCTCACCTTGGCGTTGCGCGCGTTCGTTTGATTAAGTTCGTAGCAGTTCAGGGATGGAGGGCAGGTGGCTTCCAGAATGGAGCTCTTGCCTTATCGCCGCGCATATTCGACTTACAAGTGCGCAGCAGCCCCACGGATGGATGGGTGATGGTGGGTTGTTTCAGATTGTGGATCTCGCCATACAGTCGGGGCCCTGAAGAATGAACCCTTTTCGTTGGGGAGGGGCTCCGCGTTCCTTAAGTGTTTCACAGCTTGCCTCAGATTCCCCTTATGTTTTCGATAGGAAATCGAAGTTTAACTTCTGGAGAAAAGGGGCCTCGTTCCTTATTTAGGGTTCCTTAGGTCAACGCCTCGACTGTAGCGTCGCGCGCAACCGTTTTTTTTACAGTTCGCAGCAGTTCAGCGATGGAGGGCGGGTGTTCTTCAAACTGGAGCCCGCGCACGTTCGCCCCAAACGTGCGCAGCAGTCTCACGGTTGGATGGGCGGAGGTGTTTTTCGAAATGGGGATTTTTCTTCTTGGAGTCGTTCGCATGTGTTTTCAAACGATCTCGGCAGTTCAGGGATGGAGGGCGTGTGGCTTTCACCATGCAGCTCTCGCCTCTGCGCCGCGCGCATTCGTCTCACACGTTCGCAGCAGTCTCACGGATGGCGGGGCGGTGGTTTTCAGAACGTTGATCTCACCCGGGCGTCGCGCGCATTCGCTTTAAGAAGGACGCAACAGTTCAGGGATGGAGGGCTGATGGTTTTCAAAATGGAGCTCTCGCTCCGACGCCACGCACATTCGACTTACACTATTGCAGCAGTCTCACGGGTGGAGAGGTGGTGGTGTTTCTTCAGACTGTTGATCTCGACCTAGCGTCGCGCGCATCCTTTTTTTATACAGTTCGCAGCCGTTCAGGGGTGGAGGGCGGGTGATTTTCAAACTGGTGCTCTCGCCTCTGCGCTGCGCGTATTCGTCTTACACGTTCGCGGCAGTATCATGGACGGGGAGGTGGTGGTGTTTTTTTTGTTCAGGATCTTGATCCTGCCTTGGCGTCGCGTGCAGGGTTTTCTGCTGCTTCTGTTTTAGCTTTTCAAGTTCGCCGCAGTTCAGGACTGGAGAGGTTGCGGTGGTGGTGTTTTTTTTGGGGGGGGGGGGTCTTTTCGGAGTATTGATATCGCCAGAGCGTCGCGCGCATTCCTTTTTTAAACAGTTCGCAGCAGTTCAGGGGTGGAGGGCGGGTGGTTTTCAAAATGGGGTTCTCGACTCTGCGTTGCGCACATTCGTCTCGCACGTTCGCAGCCGTCTCACGGATGGAGGGGTGCTGGTTGTTTTCAGATCGTTGATCCTGCTTTGGCGCCGCGCGCACTCTTTCAAGGTCGCAGCCGTTCAGGATCGGAGGGCGGATGGTTCTCAACATGGCGCTCTCGCCCCTGCGCCGCGCATGTTCGCCGTACACGTCGCAACAGCTTCACGGATGGAAGGGTAGTGGTGGTTTTCGAATTGTTTAGGGAAACCAACAATAACATAAACATAAAAACTCGGAGGTCCTCGCGGATTTCTCGGATCGGCGCTGGTCCTCCCTCCCTGGCGCGCGGAGCGCGCCAGGGGCGGCGCCAGAGGCGCCGCCAGGGGGCCCCAGCACCGATCCTAGAAATCCGCGAGGGCCTCCGAGCTTTTATGTTTATGTCATTGTTCGTTCCCCTAGCATTGTCGATCTCGCCCCAGCGTCGCGCGAATCCGTTTTCCATGGGCGGCTCGCAGCAGTCTTCAGGGTCCGCAGCGGTTCGGTGGCGGGCGGGGCGGGTGGTTTTCAAACACTTGGGCTCTCGCCTCGTGCGCCGCGCGCGCCCTCGTCTTACACGCCCCCAGCGGTCTCACTACCTGCTTTGGCCTTGACCACCAGAAGGAACTTCGAGCACCAGGAAGAGTACCGGCATCGGGGGGTGTTCACGTGTCGGGCCCTGGGAGGCGGCACCCGTCCGACACGGTTTCGATACTTCTCCTGGGTGCTCGAAGTTCGTTCTGGAGTTTGGCCCGCAAGTGCGATGGGAACAGCATAGGGGTGGTGGTGGTTTTCAAGATGTTGGTTTCGCCCTGGCGTCGCGCGCCTTCGTTTTATAAAAAAGCTCGCAACAGTTCAGGGGTGGCGGGCGGGCGGCTACCAAACTTGTGCCCTCGCCTCTGCGCCGCGCACGTTCGTCGTCAACACACATGCGGATCGCTCATTTGCGTTTTCTTTTTTTTGTGTTCGTTAACTGTTTTCTTTTTATTGTTTTTTTTGTTGGTGTTTTTTTTGTGTGTGCAAAGTTGCAACACTTCAGGGGTGCAGGAGGATTGTTTTCAAGCTGCTGCGCTCGTTGAGAGCCGCGCGCATTCGATGGTTTGAAAAAGTTGCAGCAGCACAGGGATGGAGGGGGTTCGCTTTCAAACTTTTGTGCCCTGCTTAGTGCCGCGCACATTTAACAGCCAGCTTTTTCACGGATGGGGGGTGTTTCTTTTTCAATGTGTTGTTCTCGCCTTAGGGCCGCGCACATTCGTTTTGAACGGATGCAGCAGTTTCAGGGGACGGAGGGCGGTTTGTTTTCGAACTGTTGCTCTCGCCTTAGCGCCGCGTGCATTCGTCTAACGAGCTTGCAAACAGTTCAAGGATGAGACGGAGGTCGTTATCGAAGTGCAGTTTTCGCTTGAGCACCGTGCACGTTCGATGTTACAATAATCATGCGCTAGCTTGACATATTCAGGGCGATTCATGTTTAAAATCTTGTTCTTGCCCTAGCGCCGCGCATATTCGTCTCAAACTGGTGAAACCGTTTTCAGGATGGAGCACGGGCCATGTTCCAGGTGCAGTTCTCGCCTCAGCGCCGCGCGCATTCGCTTTTTAAGGCAACGTGGACTGCTCTTTCTCGGGGGTGGACAGAACCCCCAACAGTGACACGTCGATTAGTGAATTGTCCGTTTTCGGTTCTCGAGAGGGCGCCGCGGCCGTTATTTTCCAGGCTTGCGCACGCCAGGTTTGGGCCTCAGGTCGTTTTCACTAAACCACGTTTTACTAAAAAGAGGTCTGTCCATCCCCACCTTTCTCAACATGGACTAATCGCCTGGGACCTCGTGGAGCTAAGCGCCTGCAGCTTCAACGCATGCAGGGGTGCACGGGTCCATGGCGGCTCCCTTGAAGATGGAGTTGTCGCTTAACGCGTCATCGAAGTTCGTGGCCACAGGTTCTTCCTCGAAAGGGGGATCTCTTTGGACACTTCGTTAAGCTGTCTAATCATGTTGTCGCGCTCCTGGTTACGCGCCGGAAAGATGCAAAGTAATTCTTTTCATAGCGGGGCCTTCGCCGAACTTGCAGGCCCAATTGTGCTGGTATTGCAGGGGTGGCGCTTCTCGCATGTAGTGAGAAGGAGTTGTGGCGTATGAGGAGTGGAGTTGGGAGGGGTGAGTGTATTGCAGCTTCGCTTACACGTCTTGGGATCACTCCCGTCCTCATCCTCCTCTTTCTCCTTATGGTTCTCCTCCTCCTCCTCCGCCTCCTCCTCTCGCTACCCTGACATTCCCTGATTCTTTGGAACATTTCAGAAATCCGCAGTCCCAGAGGTCCCGACCGCTTCCCCAAGGGTAGTTTTTCATCGCGGATCCATTTTCGATGGCCCCGGGGCCCAGTCTTGACCCCCAGAGGCCTGGATGTGAACAGTTCGCGCTGTCGGACATGCGGGCATATTGTTTTTGCTTGCTTTGTCCTCCTCCTCCTCTTTCTCTTCCTCCTCCTCCTCCTCCTCCTCCTCCTCTTCCTCCTCCTCCTCCGTCCGCCTCCGTCCGCCTCCTCCTCCTCCTCCTCCTCCTCCGTCCGCCTCCTCCTCCTCCTCCTCCTCCGTCGTCCTCCTCCTCCTCCTTCTCCTCCTCCTCCTACCGCTGCTCTTCGCGCGGCCTCCTCTGCCGTGCGCGCCCCCTGGCGTGAGGTGATGGGCAGGAGCCTGTCCGTGGACTCCGTCGGGTCGGCGGGGGTGGAGGCTCCCTGCTGCTCGAGAGGGGGTGGGGTGGAGACGAAAGCTGTCAGGAGGGGAAAAGACACACAGACACAATTCATCGTCGATTCCAAGGAAAATATTGGAAAATATGGGAAGTGGGGGGGAAGGCAACAACCAAGAAAATATGGGCAAATATGGGGAATCATTTTGTTTGTGTGTATTTGTGTGTGTGTGTGTGTGTGTGTGTGTGTGTGTGTCCCAGGGCCCCTTCAAGCTGCTCGGGGAGGGAGGACCCAGATCTTTGCTTGTGGAGGTCGATCAGTGGAGAGGAAGCATGCTGCCAAATAGTTTCCAGATGTCTAAATCATGTTTCAAACTTGTTTCAATATGTTTAAAACATGCTTTTAACATTTTCAGGACATGTTCCGACATTGTAAACACATTTTTAATTCGATGAAAGGCCTGTTGGGGTGTCCATTGTCGTGGCATCCACAATGTTCGGGGAGGGAGGACCCAGCAGGGCCGTTTTTTTTACTGTTTCCGTTTTGCCGTTCTCTTGCCGGTTCCGACGCCGTCTTTTTACCAGTTTCGGCTCTGGTTCCACTCCTGGAGCCGTTTTCTTTGCCGCTTCCGGTCGCCATTTTTTCGCCGTTTCCATTTCCGAGAGACATGTTTCTGGAAGCGGTAAAAAACGGCCCTGCCGTTTCCGGGGCCCGCTATAGGGGGTGTGGTGGAGATGAAAGCTGCTCGGGGAGGGAGGACCCCGATCCGACGATCTGATTTGTACAATCTGGCGGTTTCTCCTTGATTTCGACGAACGAACAACGCACACCCATACCCATAAGGGGGTCGTTGGGAGGAGGACTGGCTATGGGTATGGGTGCGGGTTGTCGGACCCTAGGGAACGCTCCCGTTCGAGCGGGGACCCTCATCCGACAACACGCACCCATAGCCCTTTCAGACCCCCCTATGGGTATGGGTGTGTGTTGTTGGTTCGTCAGATTTCGGCCTCTGGGGCCCGCTATCGGGTCCAGTGACCATCGAAAACTGATCCGGGAAAGACCACCCCAGGGGAAGGGGTCGGGACCCCTGGGGCCACGAATCGAACAGCACTCATATCGGAGGACGTCTAGGGAGGAGACAGGGAGGGGGGGTCTTTCCCAGCCTCCCGCTGCTCGAAGCGGGGCGACATGCTATCTGCTTGCAGGGCATACAGTCGGGGCCCTGAAGAAGTAACCCTTTTCGTTGGGGATGGGCTCCGCGTTCCTTGATTGTTTCGCAGCTTGCCTTGGACTTTCCTCAGGTTTTCGATCGGAAATCGAAGTTCAACTTATGGAAAAAAGGGGCCTCGTTCCTTATTTAGGGTTCCTTAGGTCAACGCCCCGTCTGTAGTGTGTCGCCAGGGCCGCCGCCGCGACACTGTAAGCAAACGGCCCTCGTCATAAGTAGGTCGGCTCTTCCAACGTGCCACCTCTTGGCGGGCACGGGCCGCGATCCCTGGAGGAGGCAGCACTCCCCCCCACCCAAGGGGGGGGGGATAGGTCGGCCGTCGTGGCTGCGGTTTCCCCACTGGGGGTGTGCATGGCCTGCTCTTGCCCAGACAAGACGGGCTTGAAGGCTGCCCTTCACACCGTGGAGCCCGTCGCTGGGTGCCTCTCCTGGCCGCTCGAAGACATGTGCTGCGAAGCAGCGTTAAGTCGGGCCTGTCCCTCTACAGGGGGACTAGTCAAAGATAGTCAACAAAATACTCTGGGGACCATTTTTGAGTATGTTTTTGGGCAGTTTTTGATGATTTTTCTCGGGTATTTTCTTAAGTTTTCGTCCCAGATCCCCCTGTAGGGGGATAGGGCCCGACCTAAAAGTAGCGCAGGCTGGCGTGGCGCAGGCATGCAATGTGCAAGAACGCCCGGACGCATGAACGAAAACGGATGGACGGCGCGTTTGCCCGCGCGGGCAACGCGCGGGCACGAACGACTGGCCCTCCATGACCGCCAACATTGGATGCCAATCGTATCCGATCGCATACATGAGCGATGCATTGAGCATGCATGGGCGATTCAGCCCCCATTGAAGACCCCCTGTTGCAGGCCCCCTCTTTCACCCTCCAGTTCGCGGGGCGCTGCCCGCGCGCTCCTCGGGCCCGCGCAAGTGCGCGTCGCGGGTTTGGCCTGCGGCGCGCTCCCGGAGCAAGCGCGCTCCGAGCGGGCCTGGGCGGAGCGTGCCCGGGGCCGGCCCGGCGCGGTGGCGGAGAGGGGCACGGCGAGGTAGGTCTGCGGAGGTCGATCAGTGGAGTCCTCCTCCTCCTCCTCCTCCTCCTCCTCCTCCTCCTCCCTCTCCTCCTCCTCCTCCTCCACCTCCTCCTGATCCTCCTCCTCCTCCTCCTCCTCCTCCTCCCTCTCCTCCCTCTCCTCCTCCCTCTCCTCCTTCTCCTCCTCCTCCTCCTCCTCCTCCACCTCATCCCCTTCCACTTCCAGCTTCTTCTCCTCCTCCACACGTAAGAGTGGCGAAGCGTCCCGGCTTGCCTATAGCCCTACCAAGCAATGCTCTGAGAACCTTGTGTGGTTTCCACGAGATGTTCTTAAAACACATTTCTGGCGGAGTCTGTCTTGCTTTGGCACATCGGGTTTATGTTCTGAGAACATTGTTTTTGTCCTTAGAATATTTTTGGGTTCTCAGAACATTTCGTGGTAGGACTATAGAAATGCCGGGACGATCGGTCCGTGCTCCAGATTTGTGGAAGTCGATCAATGGAGTCGACTACACGTAAGAGTGGCCTTTCGGCTGAGTGACCTTTGGTGTGGGCTCATCGGGCTCCCCCCGATCGCCGAGCGCGATGCGATATCAGCGGCCCGCGCCCTCGGGTTTGGCTGCCTCGCGCCCCCAGAAGCTGCGCTCCAAAGGTCACTCTTACCCAGGGCCACTCTTACGCCTAGTCGATGGAGAGGCAGCATGCTGCCAAGTAGTTTCCAGATGTCTAACATATGTCCCAAACATGGTTTATACATATAAAAAATCAAAATGTTTGAACCATTTTCAGAGCATGTTTTACACATTTTAAGCACTTCGTTAATTCAATGGTCGGATTGTTAGAGTGCCCCTTGTCATGGCATCCACAAGTATGACCAGTGGACATGCTGTGGAGCTCGTGCCCGAGACCGCGACGGCACTGGAAGTGGAGGCCAGCACGAATTCCACCGATGGGGAGGGCGAGTGAGGTACTGACATCGGAGGCATTTGCTGCTGACTGTCGGGGCCACCGTCTCACAGTTCTGATATTATTGGCTCAGTCATCTCGCCCTGAAGGCAGCCGGCGTCTTCGTTACAGCATCCCCGAGTACCAACACACGGACGTCACATAACCGATTGTACCATGAATTGTCGTTCGCTTGTGATTGCGTCCACAGTTGCCTAGTCTGTGTATGTCTTATTTCCTTTTTTTCCTGCTGCGCTGCTGCTGTTCCTCCTCCCCCCGTTCCCTCCTCCTCCTCCTTCTCCCCTCTCAGCAATGTTGAACACCCGTAGCAGATTACAGTATTGGACAGATTCGGAGGTCCTATTCAAGGGCTGGATGAAAGGTAGACACACACGCCCGGCCAGTTGGAGCAGCATGGGTGATTTGTGGATTGAGATTGGCGCAGCATTGACAGACAGAGGTGGCCCTCGTGTTGAGGTCTTTTGGATGAACAGCCACCGCAGCCTCGAGGAAAGTTTTCAGAAAGGAGTTCCGTTCTATGCTTGGTGTGGTAACGAGGCTGCAGATGAACTTGCAGTCAAAGGCGCCCAGCAGCACCAGATCCCACCTGCTCGCTTCTCCTGTTATAAGTGGGCTGTCGCCGTCTCCGCCTTAGTCCGCAATAGGTTAATTCGTGCCACTTTAAACGCGTTTGAGCATGAAAACAAAGTGCCCTCGGACCGCGGACATGATTGTTCGGAGGATAGTGAAACGTTCTAGGCATGACGCTCTCAGAGCCGCCCAGCTGAAGTCGTCTCACACCCTCTGTAACATGCAGGCCCGTTGGGGCTGTCTTGATTGTCGTAGCTCGGTCAGTAAATTAGCATGTAAGCAAGTCATGAGCGAATGGATTTCCCGAGAGTGCCCTGGCCCACCTACCAACCAGCCGCGCCACACCCAGCTCGCCCTGGGGACCAGGAGCGGCCACGCATCCCGTGAGCTCGCTTTCTACGAGCCATACTGGATTTGCATAAAGTGCGGTAGTCGGGCTTTGGAAGGGAGGGGACACCTCAGAGGCCTCTCGGAAGTATGCTCACCTCCTACTAAAATGGGGAGTTGGGTTATGTCTCGCGTGTTTCAAGGGAGGCCACTCAAGTGAAGTCCTCCTGTGAGCCCAGCCATCCAGACATCGTCTGATTGGGAACGTCCGATGGAAAGTCCTCGATGTGGAGGGGAAGGAGGAGAAGGAGGAGGGGGATGAACATGATGATGGTGCAGATGATGATGCTGTTGCTGATGATGATGCTGATGACGCTTATGATGATGTTTATGATGATGATGAGGATACGGATGATGATGATGCTGATGATGCTCATGATGATGATGATGATGATGATGATGATGATGATGCTGATGATAATGGTGATGGGCGGAGGTGAGAGGGTGAGATCGAAGTGGAACGGAGAGCCCCCCTACCAGGAAGTCGGTTTCGGTTTCGTGTTCGTGCGTGCCGTGCGTGCGGGCGAGGCGAAGCTGCGTGGGCGGGCGAGAAGAAAGTCTCCTCCGGCTGAGGCGCGGTTAGACCAAATGTTTCCTTCCGGGGGCCAGTGGCCCGCGGTGTCCCGCCGGTGTCCCGCCTCTGGCTGAGGCGCGGCCGGACCAAATGTTTCTCTTCCGGGGGCCGGTGGCCTGCGGTGTCCCGCCGGTGTCCTGCCGGTGTCCCGTCGGTGTCCCGATGATGATGATGATGAGGATGATGTCGATAATGTTGATGATGATGATGATGAAGGTGATGGTGGTGATGATGGGGTCCCGATGATGATGATGATGATTGTGATGATGATGGTGATGTTGATGATGTTGATGATGATGATGGTGATGGTGGTGATGATGATTATGGTGTCCCGATGATGGTGATTTTGATGATGACGTTGCTGATGATGATGGTGTCCCGGTGACCGGTGATGATGACGTTGAGGATCATAATGATGTTGATGATGATATGGTGATGAGATGATGATGGTGATGATGATAAAGATGATGATGATGGTGTCCCGATGATGATGAGGTTGATGATGATGTTGTTGATGATGATGGTGATGATGACGGTGATAATGATGATGTTGATGATGATAATGATGATGGTTTTCCGATGATGATGATGATGTTGGTGATGAGGATGATGATGTAATGATGATGATGATGATGATGATGATGATGATGATGGTTTTGATGATAGTGGCCCGATGATGGTAATGATGATGATATTGTTGCTGTTGATGATGGTGTTCCGATGATGATGATGGTGGTTACGATGAAAATGGTGTCCCGATGATGATGATGTTGGTGATGCTGCTGATGCTGCTGATGATGATGGTGTCCCGATGATGATGACGTTAATGGTGTTCATCATGATGATGAACTGATGATGGTGATGGTGGTGATGATGATGGTGGTGTTGTTCCGATGATGATGATGGTGTCCTGATGATGATGTTGATGTTGATGATGGTGCCGATGATGGTGTTCCGATGATGATGATGGTGGTGGTGATGTTGATGATGGTGATGAGGTGATGATGATGATGGTGTCCCGATGATGATGATGATGATGATGATGATGTTTATGACGTTGATGACGGTGCTGTTGTTGTTGATGATGATGATGACGTTGTTTGTGAGATCGATGGTGATATCGATTGTGAGATCGATCGTGAGACCGAATGTGAGATCGAGTGTGGTTTTGCTAGTGAGATCGATAGTGAGATCGATTGTGATATCGATAGTCAGGTCGATTGTGAGATCGATCGAATGAAATAGATCGAGTGATTTCGATTGTGAGATCGTTTGAGTGAGATCGATCGAGCGATACCGGTAGTGACATCGATAGTGATATCGATCGTGAGACCGATCGAATGAGACGTTCCCCCCCCGAACCTCCTTATTACCCGAAGGGTGGTCGTATAGGTTTTTGTAATGTGTTACATTATAATGTCTCCCTAACTCCCCTAGGGGCCGCGCCGCATCCATCGACCCAAAGATGGTGGAACCCTTCTGGGCTTCAATTATCCTGGCGAAGGACCCAATCACATGCAGTTGTGGGTACCGCAATTGTGAACATATTCTTCGGTGGAGCTCCCTTTGGGGCCACGAAGCGCTGCACTGGGTGGGGGGGACGCATGTGGACGGTCCCACTGGGGCCGTCCCTGGAGCTCCCCATGGGGCCACGAAGCGCTGTACTGGGTGGGTGAAAATTCCAACTGGGGTGTGTGGGACGCACGCGGACGGTCCCAGTGGGGGCTTCGGTGGATCTCCCTACGGGGACACGAAACGCGGTGGGTGAACATACCAAATTGGGCTTCCGGAGCGCATGCGGAGGGTCCCACTGGGGGTTTCGGTGGAGCTCCCTTTGGGGCCACGAAGCGCGTTACTGGGTGGGTGAAAATGCCAAATTGGGTTTCCGGGAGGCACGTGCACGGTCCCATTGGGGGCTTCGGTGGATCTCCCTATGGGGCTACGAAAAGGTTATATTGGGTGGGTGAAAATGGCAATTGGGTGTGCGGGACGAATGTGGACGGTCCCACTGGGGCCGTCGGTGGAGCTCCCAATGGGGCCACGAAGCGCTGTACTGGGTGGGTGAATCTGCCAACTTCGGTGTGTAGGGCGCATGCGGACGGTCGCACTGGGGGCTTCGGTGGAGCTCCTTATTGGGGCCACGAAACGTTGCACTGGGCGGGTGAAAATGCCAAATTGGGTTTCCGGGACGCACGCGGGCGGTCCTACGGGCGACTTTGGTGGAGCTCCTTGTGAGGCCACGCAACGTTGTACTGGGTGGGTGAACATGACAAACTGGGTGTGCGGGGCGGACGGTCCCATTGGCCACGACACGCTGTATTGGGTGTGGCGGACGCATGTGGCCACCCTTATTGGGGCTTCCGATGGAGCTCCCTATGGGGCCAGGAAGCGCTGGAGCTCCTTGTGTGGCCACGAAACGCCCCCCCCACTGGGGCATTGGGTGGGGCTCCTTATGGGGCCACGAAGCGCTGTATTGGGTGTGGCTGACGCATGTGGCCACCCCACTGGGGCCTTGGGTGGAGCTCCCTATGGGGCCACGACGTGCCGTACTGGGTGTGGCGGACGCGTGTGGCCACCCCCACTGGGGCCTTGGGTGGAGCTCCCTATGGGGCCACGAAGCGCTGTACTGGGTGTGGCAGACGCATGTGGCCACCCCCGTTGGGGCCTGTGGTGGAGCTCCCTGTGGGGCCACGACGTGCCGTACTGGGTGTGGCGGACGCATGTGGCCACCCTCATTGGGGCCTTGGGTGGAGCTCCCTATGGGGCCACGAAGCGTTGTACTGTGTGTGGCGGACGCATGTGGCCACCCTCACTGGGATGGGGCCTCGGGTGGAGCTCCCCATTGGGCAACGCAGCGCTGTATTGGGTGTGGCGGACGCATGTGGCCACCCTCACTGGGCCCTTAGGTGGAGCTCCATATGGGGCCACGACGTGCCGTACTGGGTGTGGCGGACGCATGTGGCCACCCCCATTGGGGCCTTGGGTGGAGCCCCCTTTGGGGCCACGAAATGTGTACTGGGTGTGGCGGACGCATGTGGTACCCCCACTGGGGGGGGCACGGGAGGAGGAGACGAGGGGACCGTTTCTTCAAAACGAGGACCCAACACCACATGATGCTTGGGAGAAACATGCCAAACCGATGGGACATCGATGATTTGGGCCCCGTGGCCCTCCCGGGGGGCCCAGAGGGTTTCAAAATGGTTCACGATGGGTTCTAGACGGCCCAAAATGGCCCCAAGAGGGCCCAAAAAGCGCCCAAGACGGCCCAAGAGGGCCCCCAGAGGAGCCCCAATAGCGCCTCCGCAAGCCCAAATCATAAATTATCGCGTTCTCGCTTTTTTCGACTCCTGACGACCCAAGCAGCCTCCAAAATCGCCTCATGACGGCTCACGAGACGCCCGAGAGGACCCCAAGACGGCCCCAGAGGGCCCCAAGACGGCCCAAATGGGTCTCCAAGACGGCCCAAAGGGGCCCCCCGAGACGGCCCAAGAGGACCCCAGGAGCCCCCAGGCGGCCGCGAGAGGTCCCCAATACGGCCCCCGCAGGGGCCAAACGGCGCAACAGCGACCAATAAGGCTGAACACGCCCCCAAGAAACCCAAAGAGACCCCAAAGAAGTCCCCAAGAGACTTCAAAGAACCCCCAACACGACTTGACTGTACGTACTCCGGACGTGCACCCGCGAAGCGAGAGGAATACACAGGATACGTTGCATTAGGGCTGCCGCTCCGCTGCGCGATCTGCCTCCGGCAACACGTCACTTCCGGACGTAGATTCCTATCGCTTCGCGGGGTGCACGTCCGGAGCACGTGCAGTCCAGACGTTGTGGGGCTTGGTGGGAGCTTCTTTGTGGACTTCTTGGGGACTCTTGGGGGCTTCTTTGGGTCCTCTTGGGGCCTCTTGGGGGCGTCTTGGGCCGTCTTGGGGCGCTCTTGCGCCGTTTGGCCCCCTCGGAGGCCGTCCTGGCCTCTCGCGGCCGCCTCGGGGCTCTCTTGGGGTCCTCTTGAGCCGTCTTGAGAGAGAAGAGACCCCCAAGAGACCCCCAAGAGGCCCCCAAATACTTCCTCGGAGACCCCCGAGAGCCTTCCAAAGAAGCCCGAGAAGCATCCCTGAGGACTGGCCCACGTCAATGTCGTCGTCGCCGCCGCCGTCGTCATCGTCGTCGTCCCCCTTCAGGGTCGCCGTCGCACCTTCTATCGCTACATCGCATACACGAGTACATGTACATATGCGTTTTAGTATGATTAGCCTTCTCTCTATGTGTATACATGTTTGCATCTCCTTATGCCACCATACATGTGTATCCCACTGTGGCTCTCTCTCTCTCTCTCTCCCTGTCGGTTCCTCCCTTCGTGCGTGTATGAATGAAGACACAGAGAAGTGTTACGTTTCTCGCGTGCTGTCGGGCCCCGTGGCTTAAAACATAGATATTTGGGTCCAAGCGTGTCAGAGCGCCAGTGCTATGTAGGAACAACTTATATATATATATATATATACATATATGTATATTGCGAAGGTATTACGTTCTGCGGGTGACCTTCGGCTCTTCAGCATTACAACACTGAAGCACATTTAGTTCCACCAGCATCTCAGAAAGGGCGGCGGGAGTCTACTCACAACATGTTGAAATCGAAGCGATGCTATTTCGAGCGTCGCTGATTGCAGTGACTTGGGCTTCGAGTCAGTCCTAGGTGGCCAGGTACGCGTGGACATGCGCTCGGATTGGAAGGCGACGGGTACGCGAGGCTTGGCTGTTTTTGGAGCAGCCTCGCAGATTAGATCTGGATCATGTTCGAGCGGACGGAGTCGGAGGAAGGAGAGGCGGCACCACCTCCACCAGGGGGGCCACCTCCAGCGAGGGAGCCCACGATACCCACCCGAGCTGGGGACCGGGGATGTCTCGAGCAAGAGGGGGGGGCCCGCCCCGCCAGGAGGACCTTCCCTGGCGCCTCGCGCCTCCTCGTCCTCCTCCTCCTCCTCCTCCTCCTCCTCCTCCTCCTCCACGTCCACTTCCTCTTCCTCCTCCTGCTCCTCCTCCTCCTCCGTCTCTTCCTCCTCGTCCTCCTCCTCATCCTCCTCTTCCGCCTCCTCCTCGTCTTCCTCCTCCTCCTCGTCTTCCTACTCCTCCTCTTCCTCCTCGTCCTCCTCCTCCTCATCCTCCTCCTCGTCTTCTTCCTCTTCCTGGTTCCTGCAGAGCGCCCCCCGGTCGCCAGGTTACAGGTGCGCGGGAATACGTGTACGAGCCGTCCGCCGACGAGGTCTTTGACAGCGTCTGGGCGAAGGCCGCCGGCTCAGTCCCGGGCCCTCGGCTAGCCCAACGGTGTGTGTACCCCCTTCGGCCCAACCAGCTGATCATTGCATCGCCTGCGCGGCACCGAGGGGCCTCGATGGACAAGCACACGTTGGGGCTAACACACGTTCTCAGGATCATCGACCCTGGTGGACAGGAGGCCTGGGCCTCTTTGCCCCCCCGCCCCGGCAAGGCGGTCAAGGGCAAGGCCAACGTGCTCGACGAGAGCTTCTCCGACGCCTCTGCCGAGGCAGCCGGCGCGGCCCGCGCGTCGTGCGAGGCGTGCTCGCGGAGCTCGGGCGCGAGTGCCGACGGCCTCTGGGGCACGTGTGGCGCGTCTGCCCTCTTTGGGCGGCGGGGTCTAGACCTGCACGCGTCCACCGCCGTGGTCAGGCCCATCCCGGGGCCAGTATCAGTGCAGATCTGCCCCTGGCCAAGCCATGAGGGAGCACACGCCGCTCCTGGGAGGTGGAGGAGGAGGAGGAGGAGGAGGATGAGATGAGATGAGACGCCGCCTTACGAACAAGTCCAGGTCGAATGGCCACAGGCCAGAAAGCAGACGCGCGCGCCGCCGCGGCCGCGGCGCGCCGCGGTCCGCCGGGCGCTCACGGCGCAGGCGGGCCCCCCGCAAGCGGGCATCACGGGGATGGCAGGGCCAGCTCCGCCGCCCCGTTCTGTCGGACGGACAACACCCAGTCGGAAACACCCGGACCCCGACAGAACGGACAGGGGCCAGGCCCCACCAAACCCCCACCACCCACCCCAGGGGCCCGCAACGACACGACAGACGACGACAGCGACGGCGACGACACGACGGGGAAGACGGACCCCCCAGCCACGACTCCCACGGGGGACACCTGGCTGGGTAGCCAGGCTCCCGTGGGAGGCTGCGTGGCCGGGGGCCCCCCGGGAAGGGGACCCCGCTTTGGGGGCCATCCCGGGCGCGGGGACTTGTCCCCCGAAGGCCCGGCGGTCCCCGCCTCCGCCAGGGGGCGCTTTGGCCCGACACCCCACTTATGGGGGTGCCCCTCCGGAGGAGGAGGAGGAGGAGGAGGAGGAGGAGGAGGAGGAGGAGGAGGAGGAGGAGGAGGAGGAGGAGGAGGAGGAGGAGGAGGAGGAGGAGGGATGATGATGATGATGATGATGATGATGATGATGATGATGATGATGATGATGATGATGATGATGGTGATGACGATGATGATGATGATGATGATGATGATGATGATGATGATGATGATGATGATGATGATGATGACGAGGAGGAGGGGGAGGAGGAGGAAACCAGGATGTCCCTGGCCAGTGGCGATGTGTATGTGTAGATCCAGTCGCCCTGCCTCTCCCACCTCCCGTCGGGCGGCGGGGCGCGGAGAGTCCAGACGGTGCCCTTGAGTCCACCCGATGGTGGGCCGCTTGCGTATACGTAAGTCGGGCTTCTCCCTCTACAAGAGGACTATCCCCAAATAGTCAAAAACTGTATGGGGACGATTTTGCGTTTTTTTTCCCATGACAGATCTTATGCATATACATATATATAGATATATGTAAACAGTTCTATATTAAGTATAGATGAAAATTACCCCAGAGCGACCCTACCTAGGAGTTGGAGCCCCGAGGAGAGCAATATTAGTAGTAACGGTAAACGCCGTCCTCCTCCTTCTCCTCATCGTCGCAGTTGTAGCAGTAGCGGTAGTAGTAGTAGTAGTCGTCGTAGTGGTAGTAGTAGTAGTAGTAGTAGTCGTATTAGTAGTAGTAGTAGTAGTAGTAGTAGTAGTAGTAGTAGTAGTAGTAGTAGTAGTAGTAGTAGTAGTAGTAGTGGTAGTGTAGTAGTAGTAGTAGTAGTAGTAGTAGTAGTAGTAGTAGTAGTAGTAGTAGTAGTAGTAGTAGTAGTAGTAGTAGTAGTAGTAGTAGTAGTAGTAGTGGTAGTAGTAGTAGTAGTAGTAGTAGTAGTAGTAGTAGTAGTAGTAGTAGTAGTAGTAGTAGTAGTAGTAGTAGTAGTAGTAGTAGTAGTAGTAGTAGTAGTAGTAGTAGTCGTAGTAGTAGTAGTAGTAGTAGTAGTAGTAGTAGTAGTAGTAGTAGTAGTAGTAGTAGTAGTAGTAGTAGTAGTAGTAGTAGTAGTAGTAGTAGTAGTAGTAGTAGTAGTAGTAGTAGTAGTAGTAGTAGTAGTAGTAGTAGTAGTAGTAGTAGTATTAGTAGTAGTAGTAGTAGTACATCTTGCTATTATATACTATGCTATGCTATGCTATGATATGCTATGCTATGCGGCGCTGTGCTATGCTAAGCTAAGATATGCCATGCTATACTGTGCTACCTATACGACCACCCTTCGGGTGATAAGGAGGTTCGGGGGGGGGGAGGAACCAACGTCTCACTCGATCGGTCTCACTATCGATCTCAGTATCGGTCTCGCTCGATCGATCTCCCTCGATCGATCTCACAATCGATCTCACTCGATCTATCTCACAATTGATCTGACTATCGATCTCACAATCGATCTCACAATCGACTTCACAATCGATACCACAGTCGGTCTCACTAACGATCTCACTATCGATATCACAACCGCTCTCACAATCAACGTCATCATCACCATCAACAACAACATCAACATCAGCATCATCATCACCAACATCAGCATAATCGGGACACCGTCCTCATCATCAACACCAACATCATCATCACGGTCATCAACATCATCGGGACACCACCATCATCATCACCATCATCACAATCATCATCATCAGCATCATCATCATCAGCAGCATCGGGACACAGTGATCGTCATCATCATCATCATCAGCAGCATCATTATCAGGACACCATCATGATCATCATCGTTATCATCATCATCATCATCATCATCATCGGGACACCATCATCATCATCATCTCATCCTGATCATCGACATCATCATCAGCATCATCATCATCGTCATCTCCGGGGCACCATCATCATCATTACCAACATCAGCATCAACATCATCATCATCATCATCACCATCGGGACGCCATCATCATCAACAACATCATCGTCATCATCACAATCAGAATAATCATCATCATCGGGACGCCATAATCATCATCAACCTCATCATCAACATCATCATCATCATCATCATCGGGACACAATCCTAATCAGCATCATCAACATCAACATCATCATACTCATCATCATCGGGACACCATCACCGTCATCATCATGATCAGCAACATAAGCATCATGATCATCCTCATCCTCATCATCGGGACAACACCAGCATCATCATCATCGTCATCATCACCATCATCATCATCGACATCATCATAATAATCATCATCATCATCGGGACACCATCATCATCATATCATCATCATCATCATCATCATCGTCCCCATCATCATCAGCATCACCATCATCATCATCGTCATCATCATCATCATCATCAGCATCACCATCATCATCATCATCATCATAATCATCATCATCGCGGGACACCGCGGGACACCGGCGGGACACCGCGGGGCACCGCGGGACACCGCGGGACACCGCGGGACACCGGCGGGACACCGCGGGCCACCGGCCGCCCGGAAGGGAGACAATTGGTCCGGCCGCGCCTCAGCCACACGGGACACCAGCGGGACACCGGCGGGACACCGCGGGCCACCGGCCGCCCGGAAGGGAAACATTTGGTCCGGCCGCGCCTCAGCCACAGGAGACTTTTTCTCGCCCGCCCTCGCAGCTTCGCCTCGCCCACACGCACGGCACGCACGAACACGAAACCGAAATCGATTTCCCGGTAGGGGGGCTCTCCGTTCCATTTCGATCTCACCCCCTCACCTCCGATGATATGCTGCGCTATGCTATGCTATGCTATGCTATGCTATGCTGCGTTATGCTATGCTGCGCTGTGCTATGCTGTGCTATGCTATGCAATGCTATGCTTTGCTATGCTGTGCTATGCTATGCGATGCTAATGCTGCGCTAAGCTAAGCTAAGCTGAGCTAAGCTAAGCTAAGCAAAGCTAAGCTAAGCTGAGCTAGGCTAGACTAAACTAAGCTAAGCTAAGCTAGGCTAGGCTAAGCTAAGCTACGCTAAGCTGAGCTAATTTAAGCTAAGGTAAGCTAGGCTAAGCTACGATGAGATAAGCAACGCTAAGCTAAGGGGACGTAGCTGGGGGAACCGCGGGGCGGATACTGGGGGAACGCCTGGGGCGCTTTCCACTGCCCAGCCCCTTTAAGCCCAGAGAGTAAGAACCCTTCTAGGCAGAGCCTAGGTAGGGAATAATATATACATATGTAATACCATTTTTTGAATGTTTGTTTTTTGGCTATTTTTTATTTTTCTTCGAAAATCTGCCTGTAGCGGGACATGCCCGACCTAAGCTTCTTTGTCTGTGCCTCTTCGTGGGCGTCCTGGGATTGGTGCGACCCCCCTCTCTGCGTGAGTGCGCCTTCCCCCCCTTCTGTCCCTCCTCCGCGGCCGGACCTTTTCTTTTCTCCTCCCCTCTGGCATGCGGGACACTTCGCAATACGGTGGCCCGGGTTGCTTGGACGCGAAAAGCGAACTGTCTCTGCAGCGCTGCGTCGCAAAAGCGTGCTGGGATTCGCGTGCGGGTGCCGACCAGCGGTGCAGCCCTGCGCCCCGGGATGCAGCTTCTTGGGCGGAAGTGTTGGGGTCGGGGGGAGAATGAGTGGGCGGAGTTCGTGTGATGCAACCGATGCGGTGCAGTGTATGGGGTTCGCTTTGCAGTGTGCAGCGTGTGAGGCGCACATTATGTGGTGCGACTCTTGCGGTGCTGCTGAGTTCTGGTACATCTTAAGGGACATAGCTTATGGGGCACATCGAACGGCGTGCATCCTCTGGGGTGCAACTGGGGTGCAAGTTGTTGAAGTCACTGACGTGGCGCAGCATCGGAGGTGAGGGGGTGAGATCGAAGTGGAACGGAGAGCCCCCCTACAGGGAAATCGGTTTCGGTTTCGTGTTCGTGCGTGCCGTGCGTCTCCTCTGGCTGAGGCGCGGCTTGACCAATGATTCCTCTCCGGGGGCCGGTGGCGCGCGGTGTCCCGCCGGTGTCCCGCCTCCGGCGGAGGCGCGCCCGGACCAAATGTTTTCTCTCCGGGGGCCCGTGGCGCGCGGTGCCCCGCCGGTGTCCCGCCAAAGCCCCGTCGGTGTCCCGATGATGATGATGATGATGATGATGATGATGATGATGATGATGATGATGATGATGATGATGATGATGATGATGATGATGATGATGATGATGTCGATGATGTTGATGATGATGATGGCGATGGTGAGGATGATGATGGTGTCCCGATGATGATGATGACGATGATGATGATGATGATGACGATGATGATGATGTTGGCGATGTTGATGATGATGATGGTGATGATGATGATGATGATGATATTGGCGATGTTGATGATGATGATGATGGTGATGGTGGTGATGATGATGGTGTCCCGATGGTGATGACGTTGATGATGATGATGTTGCTGATGATGATAATGGTGTCCCGATGCTGATGATGATGTTGATGATATGGATGATGTTGATGATGATGAGATGATGATTGTGATGAAGATGATGATGATGGTGCCCCGATGATTATGACGAAGTTGATGATGCTGCTGATGATGATGGTGATGATGATGCCGTCCTGATGATGATGTTGATGATGATGGCGATGATGGTGTCCCGATGATGATGATCTTGATGATGAGGATGATGATGAGGTTATGATGATGATTTTGATGATGGTGGCCCGATGATGGTGATGATGATGCTGATGATGATGGTGTCCCGATGATGATGATGGTGATGATGATGGTGACGATGATGATGGAGTCCCGATGATGATGATGTTGTTGATGATGATGTTGCTGATGATGATGATGATGGTGTCCCGATGGTGTGGATGATGTTGATGATGCTGTTCATGATGCTGAAGATGAGATGATGATGATGATGATGATGATGATGATGATGGTGCTGATGATGATGATGATGATTTGATGGTGGTATTCCGATGATGATGATGGTGTCCCGATGATGATGATGATGTTGATGATGATGGTGACGATGATGGTGTCCCGATGATGATGGTGATGATGATGATGATGTTGATGATGATGGTGATGAGGTGGTGGTGATGATGATGGTGTCCCCGTGATGATGATGATGATGATGATGATGATGATGACGTTGATGACAATGATGTTGATGATGATGATGACGTTGATTGGGAGATCGATTGTGATCCCGATAGTGAGAACGATAGTGAGACCGAATGAGAGATCGATGGTGAGATCGATAGTGCGATCGATCGTGAGATCGATAGGCAGATTGATTGTGAGATCGATCGAATGCAATAGATCGAGCTATATCGTTTGTGAGATCGATCGAGTGAGATCGATCGAGTGATACCGGTAGTGAGATCGATAGTGAGATCAATAGTGAGACAGGTCGAGTGAGACGTTGGTTTCCCCCCCCCCCTGGAACCTCCTTATCACTCGAAGGGTGGTCGTATAGGTAATGGCGATTATGCTGATGATCATGCTGTTGTTGATGATGGTGGTGGCGACGATGATAATGTTGATGATGATGCTGCTGCTAATTATGATGATGGGTATGGGCAGCCTGACAATGATGATGATGGCGAGGATGACGATGCTGAGAATGCTGCTGCTGATGCTCCTGCAGCTGCTGATGATGATGGTGACCATGACGACGACGATGATTCTGATGCTGGTGATGGTGATGATGCTGCTGATGATGCTGCTGCCGATGGTGATGATGCTGATTCTGATTACGATTGTAATGATGCCCATGGTGATAATGCGGGTTATGATATATTGATAATGATGATGCTCAGGATGATGATGCATCGATGACGACGATGATGATGCTGATGATGATGATGATGATGATGATTGGTGATGCTGCTGATGATGCTGTCAGGGGCGGTGGTTACGACGATACCGATTATGACGACGATGATGACGACGATGATGCTGGTGATGGTGATGGCGGCGGTGGCATTGATGATATTGTTGACGATGATACTGATGATGATGCTGCTGATGATGCTGATGATGCTGATGACGATGATGCTGCTGATGAATGATGCTGATTATGATGATGCTGATGCTGATGCTGCTGATGATGATGATGCTGATGATTATAATGGTGGTGGTGGTGGTGATGCTGATTACGATGGTGTTGATGGTGAGCATGATGATGACGATGCTGATGCTGATGATGATGCTGCTGATGATGATAATGTTGATGTTGCTGATGACGATGCTGCTGCTGCTAATGATGATGCTTATGATGCCGATGATGATGCTGATGCTGATGTTGCTGCTGCTGATGATGATGCTGATGATGATGATGCTGCTGATGATGATGATGATGCTGATGCTGATGATGATGATGATGATGATTATGATGCTGATGCTGCTGATGATGATGATGATGATGATGATGATGATGATGATGATGATGATGATGACGACGATGACGATAAGGACGACGATGAGGACGACGATGAGGATGACGATGACAGAAGATGTGTGGTCGTTGATGGGTGGCGAGCGATCGGTGTTGGGTGGTGGATGGTGACTGTGACAAGAGCAGGATGAGGATGAGGATTATCATGGTGATGGAAGAGGAGGCGGAGGAGGAGGAGGAGGAGGAGGAGGAGGAGGAGGAGGAGGAGGAGGAGGAGGGGGAGGATGAAGAGACGTCATCGTCATCGTCGTCGTCGGTGTCATCTCCTTGCCGTCGTCGCCGCCGCTGGCCGCCGCCCCTCCGCGCGCGCTCCCCCAGGGCGACGCGCCTCGCGCTGCGCCGCCGTCCGTGGGGCCCTCCGCGGCGTGCGGGCGCCCAGCGGCCGGCGAGAGAGGGGGGGGGGGAGGGGGGAAAGGCAGGGCGCGGGAGGGTTGTCTCCTCGTTGAGGCGGTGGGTGGAGGGGAGGGGCCAGGGAGGGCGAGGGCGGGGCGAGGGAGGGAGGGGAAGGACAGGGCGGGGAGGGGAGGGAGGGCCAGGGAGGGCGAGGGCGAGCGACTGAGGGGGGGGCGAGGGAGAGGAGGAGGCGGGGGAAGGAGGGGCGAGGGAGGAGGGGGGAGGGGAAGGGCGAGGGGGGGAGAGGGCGCCCGGCGGCCGGCGATGGGGGGAGGGGGGAGGGGAAGGGCGAGGGAGGCCGGGGCATCGGACACCAGCGCTGCAGCGCCTGCGCTCGTGCGGGGACCAGGCGGACGGCACCAGGCGCAGCGCCGTCTCGGGCGCCAGGCGGCCAACCATTGCCTTGTCCTCGCCCTCGTCGTCGTCGTCGTCGTCGACGTCGTCGTCGTCGTCGTCGTCGTCGTCGTCGTCGCCTTCCTCTCTCCCCTCCCCTCGTCGTGCTCCTCCTCGTCCTCGTCGTCGTCGTCGTCGTCGTCGTCGTCGTCGTATAAGTAATCCTCCCCTGTCGCACCTCCACCAGACGTCTACCTGGCCGGCCGCTACGGAGCATTGCTGTCGTTGGCAACCACACTGCCAACTCCGGTGCAGATAATACCCTTTCGTGCGGGGCGCGTCGTTCTATGTATCCTCTGGCCTGCGGCCAGCGCAGGGTGAGGGGGGAAATTGGTTACCTTTCGCGCGTTCGCTTTTTCTTTAAGGTCACGGTGCACCTCATGAGTTTACCTATCGCATGTCGGTTCGTTGGTTGCACTCGGTTTGCCTGGTGGCTCTTTGTATCGCATAGCAATTGAGAATGTGCAGTGTGGACATGGAGTTCATTTAATTGAAGAACAGAGGGAGGAGAAGGGATTCGGAAGTATATGGTAATGATGGTGGGGAGGACGAGAGGGAGGGAGGAGGAGGACGAGGAGTAAAGCAGGGAAGGAGGAGGGAAGGAGAGAGAAGGCTGAGCAAGCAGGAAGAGGGAACGAGGGAGGGAACGAGGGAACGAGGAGGAACGAGGACTGGGGTTCACGTTCGGGCCACAGCTGCACGTGCACTGGCTGCTACAGCCTCAAACCGCCCCACCCCCATTCAGTTGATCATCCGTCCTTCTTGCTTCTCTATCCTCACCTGCTGGTTTTGGTTTTTGCTCCGCCCCCCCAACCCAGCGCTGCTGGGAGGGAGAGGCTTCGAGGGCCTCGACCATATCGGTGACACAGTCCGCAGCTTCGAGCTCCGAGGAGGAGGAGGAGGAGGAGGAGGAGAAAACGACGAGGGAGTGAATGAGGGAACGAGGAGGAGCGAGGAGGAGCGAGGAGGAGCGAGGAAGAGCGAGGAGGAGGAGGCGGAGGAGGAGGAGGAGGAGGAGGAGGAGGAGGAGGAGGAGGAAACGACGAGGGAGTGCACGAGGGAACGCGGAGGAGCGAGGAGAGGAGCGAGGCAGCAGGAGGCGGCACGAGGAGGCCCAGGAGCTGCACGCCCCCGCCCGCCGCCGAGGCCGCCCCCCCCCCCGCCTGGCCCCGCGGGGCCGGCTGGCGCCTGCGAGCCGGAGCAGCCGATGGGCGCGCCAGGAGAGCCGCTGCCGCCGCCCGCCATCAGGGGCAGCGTCAGTCGCCGAACGCGTTCCCATGCTCGCAAAGTGCCTATGCTCTCGAGGGAGGAAGTGCACCATAAACATAGACCTTTGGCGCTCCGCGCTGATTTCTTGGATCCGCGCCGGGCCCCCCCGGCGGCGCCTCCGGTGCCGCCCCTGGCGCGCGGAGGGCGCCAGGTAGAGGGGGTCCAGCGCGGATCCAAGACATCCGCACAGAGCGCCAACAGTTTATGCTTATGGCGTTTTTCTTCCTCTAATCAGGGGCAGCGTCAGTCACCGAACGCGTTCCACTTCTCGCAAAGTGCCTACTCACAAACGTCCGAAACAACAACGCATGTCTGCTTCGAGATCCCCAGGGCGGATCCAGGCCATTTGCGAGCAGTTTTTTGCGAGTAGTGGAACGCGCTCGGGCGGGGGATGCGGTCGGCAATTTTGGCTTAGCGTGTCCTTCCGCCGATATCTCTCAGGAGAGAACTGTACCCATACCGCTACCCTTCGCGCCCGTATCCCCTCTTTCGCCCTCCTGGGGGTCCCTCGTCGCCATCCCTGGATTCGCCTCAAAGTTCTCGTCAGAACGCACCCCAGGGAGAGGTCCAGGGAGTAGCGGTATCGGTACCTGTTGGTTTCCCCAGGACCTGGCCCACCATCAAGGGCAGAAAAAACGCCCCTACCCTGGTTTACGGGGCGCTGTGCGCTGAAGTTCTTGTGGGCCGACAGGCCGAACCCTGCATGAGGTGCCGCGCCCTGGCGGCTCTGGGCATTGGGGGGCCCCAGGAGGTTTACGGACCACGCACTCGTAACCCAGGGTGGGGTCGTGTCTCTCATCCCTCGACGCCACGCTTCTGGCCCGACGCGGGATCCACGCCCCAGCCCCCAAGGCGTCGGCGTGCCAAGCTGCCCGACGCCCCCCGCCGCGCGGGAGCGGAGCGACGCGCGATCCATTAATAATTAGCAGGGCACAGCGTGCCGCCGGGGCCGCCGACGCTCCACGCGATGCAGACGTTCCCGAGCGCATACGGTCAGAGGGAGAATTCAGGAGGGGAAAAGCACACACACACACAGACAAAATTCATCGTCGATTCCCCAGGGGATATGGGAAAATATGGGAGGTGGAGGGAAGACGAGAACCCAGAAAACATGGGGAACTATGGGGAATCCTTGTATTTGTGTGTATGTATTTGTGTGTCCTGGGGCCCCTTCAAGAGTGCATGCGTTCAACGTGTCTTGAGCTTGTCATCCGTCTTTGGCCTCCTGGGCGCGCCGCCTCGCCGCGGCCGCGCCCGCTTTTCGAGAAGCAGGGGTCCGGAGGGGCCCCCCAGGGGGGAGGCTTGGGGACCAGTTTTGAGCAGATTTTAGGGAAACAAGAAGTGACATAAACATGAAATCTCGGAGGTCCGCGCGGATTTCTCGGATCGGCGCTGGGCCCCCCCGGCGGCGCCTCCGGCGCCGCCCCTGGCGCGCTCCGCGCGCCAAGGAGGGGGGTCCAGCGCCGATCCGAGAAATCCGCGCGGACCTCCGAGATTTCATGTTTATGTCACTTTTTGTTCCCCTAGATTTGGTCGCTTCGGGTTTTCGAGGCGCGAGGTCTTCGGACGCTCTCGTCGGTGGTCGGTGGCTTTCCGGGCACGGGGGTGCCTTCCAGCAGCTCGGCCTCGCCGAGGGCGTGCTCGGGATGCCGGGGATCGTCCCGATCAGGCTGCCGGAGGCTCGTGTCATGGGGCCCAACATCGACCAGGAACGGGAACGGGCTCGGGTTAAGTCGGGCCTGTCCCCCTACAGGGGGATTTTTGATGAACAATTTTTAATACCCCCCAAATAATGGAAAAAAAAACCCAAAAATAGTCAGGGGACTATGTTTTCAGTATTTTTTGATTTTTTTGGAGCATTTTTGGGGTATTTTTATTTTTTCGTCGAAAGTCCTCCTGTAGGGGGACACGCCCGACATACGGCTCGGGGGGGGACGCATCGACCCCCAATCGCCCATTGATCGCCGATGGGGACCCGATAGTCCACCCCGCTCAGCACCGTGCGGGATCGCAATCGAGGGCCCTGCCGCCGATTTGTCGTGGATGTGTCGCCGATTCCAGGTCGATGCTCTCACTCCTGAGCCTGTTCCTCTTCTATCATTGCCTCTTACCTCTTACAGCAGCAGCAGCAGCAGCAGCAGCAGCAGCAGCAGCAGCAGCAGCAGCGGCAGCATTGGCAGCAGCAGCTGCAGTTGCAGCTGCGTCGTTGTCGTCGTCGTCGTCGTCGTCGTCGTCGTCGTCGTCGTCGTCGTCGTAGTCGGTGGGGTCGTCGCCGCCATCAGCGTTGTCGTCGTCGGAGGAGGACGAGAAGGAGGAGGAGGGTTGAGGAGGAGGAGAAGGAGGAGGAGAATGGGTGAGGAGAAGGAGGGTGAGGATTGCGAGGATGAGAGGATGAGGATCATGAGGAGGGTGATGAATAATACTGATAATCATAGGAATGAGAAGATACTATTATGATGATGATGATGATGATGATGATGATGATGATGATGATGATGATGATGATGATGATGATGAGAGGAGGAGGAGGAGGAGGAGGAGGAGGAGGAGGAGGAGGAGGAGGAGGAGGAGGAGGAGGAGGAGGAGCAAGGAGCCTGCGTCAGAGGTCCTGCGGCTGGGGTTGGGGGATGTCACCGCTGCCCCGTCTCGAGTTCACGGTGCAAGTAGGACGCGTCGTAGACTGTGGCAGCAGGTTGAACCCTGAATTTTTGGACCCGGAAGCCTGAGACATGAGGAGGATTTTGTAGTCCCCCAGGGGTTCTTCGTGTGTTCCTCGATGTCCTCGGGGTTCCCTTAGTGTCTCGTTGCTCTTCTGTGATTTTTATATGTTCTGATACGCGTTCATTTGCCTCGCTTTGCTTCGTGTGCTGTGCTATCGCGTACATGGATTCCGAGTGATGGGCAATGGTACGCAGCTCAACAGAAAACCGTGCACTACTACGCTGTGTTTACCATGCAACACCTGACTATCTAGAGCAATGTATTGCTGCAGAACTCAATGTCAAAGTATGCCATGCGACGCAATGTGCTGCTATGCGCTGCGATGCTGGCCATGCCGTGCAATTCACTGCTGCGCTATGTGGTGCTATTCTGCGCAGTGCAATGCTACGCTACTCAAGGTATGGAATGCGATGGCATTCAATGCCACGCCATGTGATACGCTCCACTCCCATTTTCTGTTGCACGTTCATAACGTGATCTAGGCTTATACGCAATGCTATGCTACGCGTGGCTATGCGATTGTATGCTATGCCATGCCATGCATGCTCAGCTACGCCGTGCTACGCAATGTGACACGCTGCCACACCATGCCACGTTGTGCTATGTATATATATATATATATATATATATATATATCATGCGCTGGCATGCCTTGCGATGCCATGCTGGTATGGTATGCAGTGCTACGCAATGCTATGATTCTTCATGCTTTCCATGCTTTGCTATGGTAAACAACCTGTGCTAAGCTATGAAGTAAGCGGCGCGATGCTATACAACGTTGTAGTATGCGTTGCCATGGTATGTCGTTCAGTGACGTACCGCGCCATGCTACGCGGTTCCATCCTATCGAATGCGGTGCTACATGTTGCCATGCGGCACAACGATTGCTTTGCATTCGAAGCAGTCGTAGTTCATCGCGTTTCATCTCATGACGTGGACTTGCGCTGAATCTGTTTGCCGGTTGGCAACAACGTCCACATTGTTTGGTCGCGCCATGTCTTGATGTAGTTGTAGTTGTACCAGCTCAGCGTGGTATCTATGGTGTAGCTTGCTCTTTGGCTTTCATCGTAGCTGTAACCTATGCTGCTTCGCTTGCAGCATCCCAGTCCCGCTTATCTTTGCTTGGCTCAGTTCAGTTTCGCCTCGATTGGGCCATCTGGCCATCCCTTTGCCCATCTTGCCTTGGCTTTGGCTCAGCCTTGACCCTAGCTTGACGACCTAGCACAGTTGCATGGCTCAGAACAACCACGCCGTACCAGCGTCCGCAAAACCCTGTATCCACTATACGTGTCTTTGACGCAACATGGTCACGCACACCAAGACCTAGTTCTGGTTCTCCTGGAGTTATTTATCTGTCGCCTGCGGACCAGTGGCTCCGTAGCTATTGGCTCAAGGTTGCTCAACAAGGGAGTTTGTCCAACTAGATTTGTTGCGCAGCCGTCTCGCCTGCTGGCAGTAATGATGCCCCATGCGACCGATGCACCGGCAGGCTGGGCGATGGACGCCGCTCCCCAGGTGTTCCTGATGCCCGCCCAGGGCGTGGACCTAGATCCGGCTGTGGCAGCGGCTTCGCTCTGGGAGTACTCCCTGCAGCCGCAGCACCAGCAGTTCGCGCCCTTGCCGCAGCCGTTCCAGCACCTGCAGCACCAGGCGTACGGCTTACACCAGCAGCCTCCGCAGTCTCTCCACCAGGACTCCCAGCCGCTTGCTTGCTTCCCTCCGACCTACCAGCAGCCGCACTGCGAGCCGCAGGGCTGGTGCTCACAGCAGCCCTGCCATCAGCAGACCTTCCAGCAGCAGCCGCTTCATCCGCAGTCCTTCCACCAGCCCTTCCACGTGGCTGCGCCGCAGCAGCCTTGCCTGCCGCACCTGCAGCCGCCCGCCGCCACGATGGTCGTGCGGGCATGCGGTGCTCTGGCGGCCCAGCCGGCGCAGCCGGCGCCGCCGGCACCGCTCGACGAGCACGAGGTGGTGGCGGCCGTCGAGACGCTCTACGCGGACTTGCTGAAGCCGTACGGCCGTATCCTGCGCAAGCGGCTCGAGGAGCGCGCCGTGGCCGCGGGGAGGCAGGCACACGAGTGCGACGCATCCGCCCTGAGGGCGATCTGCGAGTCCTGCTGCGTCCTGCTCGTGGAGGGCGAGGCGGGCGGCGACTGGTCCGTGCTGCTGCGCGACCGCCAGGACTCCTTCGTGGACGTGTACAGCCCAGACGATGTATACCCCGCCAGCCTCTGGAGCGCCATCGGGCGCTATCTCGAGGGCCCCGAGGGTGCTGCCCTGAAGCTGGCGGGTGGGCGATACTCCTGCGCACAGGACCTCGTGGCGAGGCGGCTGCCCTTCCTGGCCGGGCTGCCCTTGGGGCAGGTCTGCCACCTCGTCCAGCTCGCCATCTCTCAGAAGAAGCTGCTGGGCTACTTCGACGGCGCCGTGGTGCCGTACTGGCGGTCGCAGTCGATGCTTAAGCAGAGGTGCGCGGAGCGCGAGTGCGCCAGCGGCACGACCGCCAAGGGGGCCGGCCTTGGCACTTGGGACATGCTGCGCAGCTTCTTGGAGGGCGCCCTGAGCGACCTCGACTCCGAGGACTTCATTCCCCTCTCGAACTTCAAGCGCCTCTTCAAGCAGAGGCACGGCACCGAGCTCAGCGAGACCGCCCTGGGCCACGCGAAGCTCTCCGAGCTGCTGCGCGACCCCCGCGTGAGCGACCTGTGCACCGTGCGGCTGCGCAACCACGGCTACGCCGTCTTCCCGAGCCAGCGCCCGGGCGCGCCCGCCGCGCCGCCGAAGCCGATCTGCCTGGCCGACAGCCTGCTCGGCGAGGGCCCGGGCGCTGGCGCACCGCCGGGCAGCGCCCCGGCGCGGCGGAGGCCCGCCGCGCTGTCGGACGACGAGGGCGCCAGCCCGAGCGGCGCGCGCTCGCCGTGGCCGCCCAGCGGGCCCGGCGAGGGCCCCGAGGTGGTCTTCCCCCCGACGCCGGAGGGCGAGACGCCGCACTGGCGCGGGGGCCTCGGCCTGAGCCTGCCGCTGCCGACGCTGCTGGCGAGCCGGGCCCGCCTCCCCGCGGCAGCGGCGGCCGCCGAGAAGCCGGAGAAGCCGTCGATCTGGGACGTGCCGCTGCTGACGCCGCTGACCATGAGCCGCCTGAGGAGCTCGGAGCAGAGGACGTTCATCCACGTGGCGGGCGGGCCAGCGACGCCGCAGGCGGGGTCCTCCAGCCGCTCGTCGTCGGTGCCCAGGGACATCCACTGAGAGGCGCGGCCGCTCAGAGCACATTGCAGCAGGGGCGATGCATACGCAATTATCGGATTGTTTTTTTTTGGGACTGTCCCGACACTCAACTCCAGGGCGGTTGCGGAAACAGTTGCCAGGTGCGCTTGTACGGGCAGGAGATTTGGAGCAGCAGATGGCCACCCACGGTCCAAGTATGGCCAGCCTTGTCCACAGTCAGCTCCCCTGTCGCCAGCGGCGGCGGAGGAGCTCGGCGACTTTTTTAATCCGTTGTAACAGATCGGCGAATGCCCTTTCTAGCATTAGGCCGCAGTCAACAGTACTGCGAATTACGTAGACTTGGGGCCCGACGAGCCCCATTTGATTTTCTTGCTTCTTCGTGGCGTTGTCCTGCAAGCAGCTTGCACTAGCCGCTCAGCTTGATTTCCACCACGAGCGAAGAGGGACGAGGACACATGTCTGCGACCCGCAAGTCGCGGACTCATAGGAGTTGCCTCCCCGAGCATTGTCAAAGCACACTTGCGCGTTTTTCGTGGCCTCCCGATCCTTACACGACCGCTTTGTGGCTGTGTCTACGGGAGGGGAGGCCGCATATCCATCCATCGGACGAGTGCCCAGGGCACCGCAGTCTCTTTTCTTGGTGACGACGGGCTTGCCCTTCCAGGAAAGAGCTCATTGGTGGTCAACAATCAATATCGGGCCAGGTCTTCTCTCCCGAGTGTTCTTTGCCCTTCTGTGCTTTGTCATTCTGCCTCAGCGCCACAACTTGAACGAGCTATCCCATGCCTTGCTCCGAACGCGGCGGAGGCAACAAGTGGACACGCGGCCCAAACTTCTTGGAGTTGACGTCAGGCAGTGAGCGATTTGCTCTTTCCCCTCCCCTCCCCTTCGCTCCCTGTTTCTTCCCCGTTCCCTCTTTTCCACCCTCCCGTCCCGCCCTGTCATCCTCCGTCCATCGCTCCCCCTTCCCTCTATCCCTCTCCTCTGCCCTCTCGTCCTCTCTCCCTCCCCTTGCCCTTGCCCCCTCCCGCCTCCCAGTCCCTGCGATTAGGTTATGGCTTATGACCCGTGCCAAGACAAGAACAAGAACCTGCCCTCTTTCTCCAATCGGCCCCCGTGAACCCGTCCTTTAAGCCGCAGACCTGACTAGGAGCGCGGCCGGGCATTCGCACATGGTGGCTTTCCCTGCCCTTCACTTCGTCGTCCTTCCTCTTCGTGCACGTGCGCTTCTCCTCCTCCTCCTCCTCCTCCTTTTCCTCCTCCTTCTCCTCCTCCTCCTCCTCCTCCTCCTCCTCCTCCTCCTCCTCCTCCCCCGTCCCACCTCCACATCCGTTGATGTTCAAGGTATCCGTATCCAGGGGTTCGAGGCCTAAGTCCTTGGCTTGCGCCCCCGAGTTTGAGTCGCCGAGCCCGCCCGAAAGAGTCATGCGGGCCGTCGTGGCGGCCGCGGCGTGTGCTGTCCTCGTGGCGGACGCCAAGGACTGGGCGACTGACCTGAAGCGAGCGCGCCAGTGGACCCCGAGGGCGGAGTACCGTGGCTACGGCACGCTCGCGTCAGCAAGCGCCAAGCTGAACAGGCACCTGGCAGGAGTCGAGAACGAAAAAACGGCATGACCATTCATCAATGCAGGAGGAAAGAAAAAGCACCCTTACCCTCACAAGTGACGTTTACGAAAGGGCCCTGGGCGTTTGTTGAACAGCCCTGCCCTGTTCGATTCCTTATCTGCTTGCGTTTGCCAAACGGCTTCGCTTGTCAGGGTGCTTCCTAGCAGTTTTTCTTACACATATACACAAGACTGCACTGGCGCTTCGCGCCATACACCTTGTTCCTTGTAGTTTCGAATGCAGGCGGCGTGCGTGCGCTTGGACATGGGCTGGGCCACCGCCAAGTCGGAATGGGTGAGGAGTTCCTGAGCGGGAGCGACGGGACAACACCAGCTGAGGCCATCTCAGGGCGTTTCGGGGCCCAGAGGCGCGAATATGTCTCAGGCGAGTGGTTGGGCTAGCATGACGCAGGGCATCCTCCTGTTTCTCCTCCTCCCCCTTTTCCTCCTCCTCTTTCCCCTCCTCATCCTCATCCTCTTTCTCCTCTTTTCCCTCTTCCTCCAATTCCTCCTCCTCCTCCTCCTTCTCCTCCGTCTCCTCTACTTCCTCCTCCTCCTCCTCCTCCTCCTCCTCTTCCTCCACCTCCTACAGAACATGCTATCGGCATGCGCGCTGCTGGGCTACCGGCTTCGAGCCCGAAAGAGGCCCAAGGCTGGCCCAAGAAGGCCAACAACAACATAACATCAATGAAAACCCATTGGGCAATGGTACGCAGCTCAACAGGAAACCGTGCACTACTACGGTATACTACGCTGTGTTTACCATGCAGCACCCGAAGTTCTAGAGCGATGTGTTGCTGCACAACGCTATGCCAAACTATGCCATGCGACGCAATGTACTTGTATGCGCTGCGATGCTGACCATGTCGCGCAATTCACTGTTGCGCTATGTGGTGCTAGGTTGCCTAGTGCCATGCTACGGTACTCAAGGTATAACATGCGATGATATTCAGTGCCACGCCATGTGATACGCTCCACTCCCATGTTCCGTTGCACTTTCATAGCGTGATCGACTTAAGCGTTATGGTATGCTATGCGTGGCTATGCGATTGTATGCTTTGCCATGCCATGCGTGCTGAGCTACGCCGTGCTACGCAATGTGACACGCTGCCACGCCATGCCACATTGTGCTATATCATGCACTGGCATGCCTTGCGCTGCCATGCTGGTAAGGTATGCAGTGCTACGCAATGCTATGGTTCGTCATGCTTGCCATGATATGCGATGATCAACCACCCATGTTAAACTATGACATAAGCGGCGCGATGCTATACAACGTTGCAGTATGCTATGTCATGTTATGTCGTACAGTGACGTACCACGCCGTGCTACGCTGTTCCATCATATCGAATGCGGTGCTACATTTTGCCATGCGGTGCAACGATTGCTTCGCATTCGAAGCATTCGTAGTTCATCGCGCTGCATCTCATGACGTGGATTTGCGCTGAATACGTTTCCCATTGGCAGCATCACCCACATGTTTTGATTGCGCCATGCCTTGATGTAATTGTAGCTGTACCAGCATAGGGTGGTGGCTATGCTGTAGCTTGCTCTTCGGCTTTCACCGTAGCTATAACCTATGCTGCTTCGCTTGCAGCATCCCAGTCCCGCTTATCTTTGCTTGGCTCAGTTCAGTTTCGCCTCGATCGGGCCATCTGGCCATCTCTTTGCCCATCTTGCCTTGGCTTTGGCTCAGCCTTTGATCCTAGCTTGACGACCTAGCAGTCTAGCATGGCTCAAACCAACCACGCCGTACAAACACCCGTGAGACCCTGTATCCACCGTACGTGTCTTCAGCGCAGCATGGTCACGCACACCAAGACCTAGTTCTGGTTCTCCTGGAGTTATTTTTCTGTTGCCTGCGGACCAGTGGCTCCGTAGCTATTGGCCCAAGGTTGCTCAACAAGGGAGTTTGTCCAACTAGATTTTTTGCGCAGCCGTCTCGCCTGCTGGCAGTAATGATGTCCCATGCGACCGATGCACCGGCAGGCTGGGCGATGGACGCCGCTTCCCAGGTGTTCCTGATGCCCGCCCAGGGCGTGGACCTAGAACCGGCTGTGGCAGCGGCTTCGCTCTGGGAGTACTCCCTGCAGCCGCAGCACCAGCAGTTCGCGCCCTTGCCGCAGCCGTTCCAGCACCTGCAGCACCAGGCGTACGGCTTACACCAGCAGCCTCCGCAATCTCTCCACCAGGACTCCCAGCCGCTTGCTTGCTTCCCTCCGACCTACCAGCAGCCGCATTGCGAGCCGCAGGGCTGGTGCTCACAGCAGCCCTGCCATCAGCAGACCTTCCAGCAGCAGCCGCTTCATCCGCAGTCCTTCCACCAGCCCTTCCACGTGGCTGCGCCGCAGCAGCCTTGCCTGCCGCACCTGCAGCCGCCCGCCGCCACGATGGTCGTGCGGGCATGCGGTGCTCTGGCGGCCCAGCCGGCGCAGACGGCGCCGCCGGCACCGCTCGACGAGCGCGAGGTGGTGGCGGCCGTCGAGACGCTCTACGCGGACTTGCTGAAGCCGTACGGCCGTATCCTGCGCAAGCGGCTCGAGGAGCGCGCCGTGGCCGCGGGGAGGCAGGCACACGAGTGCGACGCATCCGCCCTGAGGGCGATCTGCGAGTCCTGCTGCGTCCTGCTCGTGGTGGGCGAGGCGGGCGGCGACTGGTCCGTGCTGCTGCGCGACCGCCAGGACTCCTTCGTGGACGTGTACAGCCCAGACGATGTATACCCCGCCAGCCTCTGGAGCGCCATCGGGCGCTATCTCGAGGGCCCCGAGGGTGCTGCCCTGAAGCTGGCGGGTGGGCGATACTCCTGCGCACAGGACCTCGTGGCGAGGCGGCTGCCCTTCCTGGCCGGGCTGCCCTTGGGACAGGTCTGCCACCTCGTCCAGCTCGCCATCTCTCAGAAGAAGCTGCTGGGCTACTTCGACGGCGCCGTGGTGCCGTACTGGCGGTCGCAGTCGATGCTGAAGCAGAGGTGCGCGGAGCGCGAGTGCGCCAGCGGCACGACCGCCAAGGGGGCCGGCCTCGGCACTTGGGACATGCTGCGCAGCTTCTTGGAGGGCGCCCTGAGCGACCTCGACTCCGAGGACTTCATTCCCCTCTCGAACTTCAAGCGCCTCTTCAAGCAGAGGCACGGCACCGAGCTCAGCGAGACCGCCCTGGGCCACGCGAAGCTCTCCGAGCTGCTGCGCGACCCCCGCGTGAGCGACCTGTGCACCGTGCGGCTGCGCAACCACGGCTACGCCGTCTTCCCGAGCCAGCGCCCGGGCGCGCCCGCCGCGCCGCCGAAGCCGATCTGCCTGGCCGACAGCCTGCTCGGCGAGGGCCCGGGCGCCGGCGCACCGCCGGGCAGCGCCCCTGCGCGGCGGAGGCCCGCCGCGCTGTCGGACGACGAGGGCGCCAGCCCGAGCGGCGCGCGCTCGCCGTGGCCGCCCAGCGGGCCCGGCGAGGGCCCCGAGGTGGTCTTCCCCCCGACGCCGGAGGGCGAGACGCCGCACTGGCGCGGGGGCCTCGGCCTGAGCCTGCCGCTGCCGACGCTGCTGGCGAGCCGGGCCCGCCTCCCCGCGGCAGCGGCGGCCGCCGAGAAGCCCGAGAAGCCATCGATCTGGGACGTGCCGCTGCTGACGCCGCTGACCATGAGCCGCCTGAGGAGCTCGGAGCAGAGGACTCAAGCAGTGGCGAAGCGTCCTGGCGTGCCTAGAGCCCTCCCAAGCAATGTTCTAAGAACCTTCTGTGGTTCCCACGACATGTTCTTCGAACATTTCTGGTTGGGACTGCCTTTTTTTAACACATCGGGTTCATGTTCTAAGAACATTGTTTTTGTTCTGAGAACATTTTTGGGTTCTAAGAACATTTCGTGGTAGGACTAATTATAGGAATGCCGGGACGGTCGGTCCCTGCTCAGAGGACGTTCATCCACGTGGCGGGCGGGCCGGCGACGCCGCAGGCGGGGTCCTCCAGCCGCTCGTCGTCGGTGCCCAGGGACATCCACTGAGAGGCGCGGCCGCTCAGAGCACACATTGCAGCAGTGGCGATGCATACGTAATTATCGGATTGCTTTTTTGGGGGATTGTCCCGACACTCCACTCCAGGGCGGCTGCGGAAACAGTAGCCAGGTACGCTTGTACGGGCAGGAGATTTTGAGCAGCAGATGGCCACCCACGGTCCAAGTATGGCCAGCCTTGTCCACAGTCAGCTCCCCTGTCACCAGCGGCGGCGGAGGAGCTCGGCGACTTTTTTAAATCCGTTGTAACAGATCGGCGAATGCCCTTTCTAGCATTAGGCCGCAGTCAACAGTACTGCGAATTATTATGTAGACTTGGGGCCCGACGAGCTCCATTTGATTTTCTTGCTTCTTCGTGGCGTTGTCCTGCAAACAGCTTGCACTAGCCGCTCAGCTTGATTTCCACCACGAGCGAAGAGGGACGAGGACACATGTCTGCGACCCGCAAGTCGCGGACTCATAGGAGTTGCCTCCCCGAGCATTGTCAAAGCACACTTGCGCGTTTTTCGTGGCCTCCCGATCCTTACACGACCGCTTTGTGGCTGTGTCTACGGGAGGGGAGGCCGCATATCCATCCATCGGACGAGTGCCCAGGGCACCGCAGTCTCTTTTCTTGGTGACGACGGGCTTGCCCTTCCAGGAAAGAGCTCATTGGTGGTCAACAATCAATATCGGGCCAGGTCTTCTCTCCCGAGTGTTCTTTGCCCTTCTGTGCTTTGTCATTCTGCCTCAGCGCCACAACTTGAACGAGCTATCCCATGCCTTGCTCCGAACGCGGCGGAGGCAACAAGTGGACACGCGGCCCAAACTTCTTGGAGTTGACGTCAGGCAGTGAGCGATTTGCTCTTTCCCCTCCCCTCCCCTTCGCTCCCTGTTTCTTCCCCGTTCCCTCTTTTCCACCCTCCCGTCCCGCCCTGTCATCCTCCGTCCATCGCTCCCCCTTCCCTCCATCCCTCTCCTCTGCCCTCTCGTCCTCTCTCCCTCCCCTTGCCCTTGCCCCCTCCCGCCTCCCAGTCCCTGCGATTAGGTTATGGCTTATGACCCGTGCCAAGACAAGAACAAGAACCTGCCCTCTTTCTCCAATCGGCCCCCGTGAACCTGTCCTTTAAGCCGCAGACCTGACTAGGAGCGCGGCCGTGCATTCGCACATGGTGGCTTTCCCTGCCCTTCACTTCGTCGTCCGTGCGCTCCTCCTCCTCCTCCTCCTCCTCCTCCTCCTCCTCCACCTCCTCCCCCGTTCCACCTCCAAATCCGTTGATGTTCAAGGTATCCAGGGGTTCGAGGCGTAAGTCCTTGGCTTGCGCCCCCGAGTTTGAGTCGCCGAGCCCGCCCGAAAGAGTCATGCGGGCCGTCGTGGCGGCCGCGGCGTGTGCTGTCCTCGTGGCGGACGCCAAGGACTGGGCGACTGACCTGAAGCGAGCGCGCCAGTGGACCCCGAGGGCGGAGTACCGTGGCTACGGCACGCTCGCGTCAGCAAACGCCAAGCTGAACAGGCACCTGGCAGGAGTCGAGAACAAAAAAACGGCATGACCATTCATCAATGGAGGAAAGAAAAAAACACTCTTACACTCACATTTGGCGTTTACGAAAGGGCTCTGGGCGTTCGTTAAACAGCTCTGCCCTGTTCGATTCCTTATCAGGGTGCGTTTGCCAAGCGGGTTCGCTTGTCAGAGTGCTTCCTAGCAGTTGTTTCTTATACATTTTATAATACAACAATTACCGTCCCCCCCGGCCCCGGGTTCCACACCTCCCCGCCACATCTCGGGGACGCTCCCGGTACCGCTCCCTCGGGCGTTCCGGGGAGCTTCCACAGCGCTCCAGGAGGGCCCAAGACGACTCCCAGGAGCGCCCAGAATGCGAAAGGATGTCCCAAGACGCTCCCAAGCAGCCCTTCCGACGGCTCTCGAGGCTTCCAGGTAACCTCCAAGAGACACCAAGAGAGGTCCGAGAGGCGTCCTGGGACGGCCCGAAGAGGCCAACATCGTAGATTTTCATTTGTTTTTTCAATGTTTTTGGTTGCTCGCGTTTTCGAGCTTCCAACGGTCCAAGGGCGCCGAAGAGGCTCCCAAGACCGCCCCAAGAACACCCAAGAGACGCTCAGGACGGCCCCAAGACGGGCTAAGAAGGCTCCAAGACTGCCGAAGAGGCGCCCATGACAGCCCCAGACCACCCTAGAACAGGCCCAAGATGGGCCCAAGAGCGGGAGCAGGAGGCTTCCAGAGACCTCCGGAAGGCCTCCAGGACCTCACTCCCCAGAGGCCCCCAACACACCCCTGATCTTTGAGAGGCCCAAAGAGACCGACGAGGCTCCAAGAACAGCCCGAGAGAGCTGCGAGAGCCGTCCCGAGATGGCCCAAAGAGGGTAACATCGTTGATTTCCCAATGTTTTTCTATTTTTTTTCGCCTTCTCACGTTTTCCCGCTTCTAGCCTTCGAAGATCGAGGGTTTTGAAAGAAAAAGGGAATTCCCAGAATTCATTTTTCTTCAAAGTGGGACTCCTACTCGGGGGTCTCACACATCCCCTTCTCGCTTTCCCTTTCGTATTGGCTCGAGAGACGTCAAGATGACTCCAAGATGGCTTCAGAGAGGTGTAAGCCGAGGCCCACAGAGGCCTAAGGCTGGCCGAAGAGGGCCCAAATAATTGAAACTCCGTGATAACCCATTGGAAAATCAATGTTTTTGATCTTCTCGCTTTGTCGCTTCCGATTGGTTCTTGAGGCATCCAGATCGGCCCAAACGGCTCCAAATGAGTCCCCAGACGAGCCCCGAAGAGGACACAGACTGGCATACACACGCGCACACACATACATACATATGTATATGTGTTTGTATATGTATGTATGTATGTATGTATGTATGTATGTATGTATGTATGTATGTATGTATGCATGCATGCATGCATGCATGCATGCATGCATGTATGTATGCATGCATGTATATATGTATGTATGTATGCATGTATGGATGTATGTATGTATGCATGTATGGATGTATGTATGTATGTGCGTGTATGTATGTATGTATGTATGTATGTATGTATGTATGTATGTATGTATGTATGTATGTATGTATGTATGTGTGGATGCATGTATGTGTGTATGTATGTACGTATGTATGTATGTATGTATGTATGTATGTATGTATGCATGCATGCATGTATGTATGTATGTATGTTTGTATGTATGTATGTATGTATAGATATGTGTATACACACATATGCTCGCCCCCCAGCACCCCCAAACGACGGAACGGGTGGATAGGGGGGCATCCTCCTCATCTTCCTCCTCTCCTCATCCTCATATCCTTATCTCCTCATCTTATATCTTCTCTTCCTTCTCCTGCTCCGCATCCTCTGCTCCTCTCGCTTCCTCATTCATCTTCCTCATCTTCCTCCTCACTCTTCACCTTCACCACCCTCGTCCTCATCCTCATCATCTTCCTTTTCTCCTCTTTCTCATGTCCCTCGGCATCCTCATTTTCCTCCTCACTCGGCATCCTCATGTCCCTCGGCATCCTCATCTCCTTGTCCTCCTCATCTTCCTCATCCCCCGCATCCTCCAGCGATTGGGGCGGGGTGCGAGCATATGTTCTTCGTATTCCTTCTCTTCCGCCTCTCCTTCCCCTTCCTCCACGTTCTCTTCGTTCTCAACGGTGAGCAGTTGGTTTCAAAGTTGGCTTCAGACAGTTTGCCATGACTTGCCGTCTTCTCGCACCACTCCTTTTGAGCATGGGCGAGGAAAGCGAGGAGGGGCGAGGAAGAGGAGGAGGTGGAGAACGGTAGTGGATGGGGGCATCCCTTTTTTGGGTCCCCATTGAATCTAATTGACTTGCGAGTGCACAAAGCCCCCGACGAGCAACCGCTGGGAGCACGCGGCAAGGGCTGGCCTTGAAAGTGTTGTGTTTTCCAGCTTGTCGAGCTTTTCCTACAAATTGCCCCGGTGAAAAGCGTTGTGTTTTCCAGCTTCTCCAGTTTTCACCGCAACGAAACCTTTTTTGAAAAAACTATATTCCAGCTTTTCTAGTTTCTCCCAGAGACTACCCAGTTGAAAACGCTGTGTTTTCCTGCTTTTCATTGTTTTTTGCGCTTGCATCTATAGGTTTTCAGTTTTTCTTGGGAATTGGGTCTGTGTGTCGGACCGGCCTCTATGTGACCGCAGTCGCCGCCCCGTCGCCGCCTCGTCGCCGCCCGTACTACCTGGGCCTGTCGGTCGGTCTGGAAGCTATGTGGCCACCGTCACCGCCCCGTCGCCGCCCCGTCGCCGCCTCGTCGCGCTGCCTCGTCGTCGCCGCCCGTGCCTTAGCCGGTCTGCTGGTCCGGTGGCCACGTGCCCGCCGCCGCCGCGCCGTCGCCGCCGCGCCACCGCCCGTGGCTGGGCCCGCCTGCCGGTCTCTGGCGGTTGCCGCCGTCGCCGCCTCGACATGGGCTGCACAGCAGAAGTTCTCCTCTCTGGAAGAAAATTACGGTCGGGGCCCTGAAGAAGGAACCCTTGTCGTTGGGGAGGGGCACGGTGTTCCTTGGCTGTTTCAAAGGTTGCCTCGGGTTCTCCTGAGAGCTTCCATGGGAAATCGAGGTTGAACTTATGGGAAAAAGGGGCCTCGTTCCGTATTTATCGTTCGTTAGGTCAACGCCCCGACTGTAGGATCGGCCCCCCGGAGCGATATCTGTGCTCGGTCCCGCATGGGTTTTGCAAACCAGGTTGCGGGTGGGTGGGTGGGATGACTGCGCGAACAGTGGAGTTGACAGCTTCCAGTTCGGCAAGTAAATTGCAAACATAGGTTCTCCTCTCTGAAATAAAATTAGGATCTACCCCCCCACCCGCCCTGGTGGTCACCCCCCCTCGGAATGTGCAGTTTACACATGACTTTTCCCCATCGTTCACTCTTCGTGCCAAATCGTGCCATCCCAGCTAAATCGGATTCGCCCTCCCCCCCCCACACCCACTGTTTGTGGTTTGCAGACGTATTCGTTCATCAGATATCATCAATGTCCA